CTAACAGCCCCTCCCTTCAGCACTTGCTTTGGCACGCCCTCTCGATCACGAGCTCCGCCCACACTGAGTGGCCATCTAGCTCTTCCGTTATCCCTGCCCACTCCTCCAACGCTGCTAATTTCTCAGGTAGTGCCGCCCTTTCTTGTATTATGAGTCAAGGATGAATACTAATAATGTTAAACTGAGATAAAATCCTGACTTTAACAAAAGTTTTGGGGCAAAGGGAAAAACACAGCCTTTATAATAATGGGCCAAACCAGGATTGTCTATATCACTGCATTCTGTCCATCAGAGTGTTATGTTATGAGCTTCGCAGACCTTGCAACATGCAACTATACCCACCTAACCACGGCAAGGTATAGACCACCCACCAAATACTACAACCATGTATATATAATGTTTAAAGTTTACTTTTCGTATTGTTGCCATGACATCCCTGAAAGAGTGTTCTTATTCCTGAGTAAACACATGTAACGATAATAATTCCATAGTTTAAGGTCAAGGGAGCAAAGTGAATGAATGTTGACATCCAGTTTACATTGTGCCTTTTACAATTGCCACTGGGATTCAAGTGTTTACAAACTACGAAGCAAATGTCTTACACGGTGTATTTCACCATACTGTAATATTGTTAAGCCATAATTAAGGTGTTTTGGTAAGATTGCGTAAGTATCTGTCGTAACTCTCCACCTCCCAACACAGCCAGTAAGGTTTTAAATGTTGTGGATTTACTCTCCAACGCACCAGTAACTAATTGGCATGCTTTGTTTATGTGACAAACCTTATTGGCTGTGTCGGGTGGTGGAGAGTTACGACACATTTATACTTATGCTTACGCGATCTAACCCAAAAACCTTTATTATGAATAATATTGGTCTACATGTTAAATTATGGCACTTGGACCAGACATATTCATTGCATAGTCTCCATATAAACGACTGCCATTGCTAGTTTTGATTGCTTATTTTTCTCCAATCCATGCTTTTAATATTTCTATAGGTAAATGTATAAGTTGGGCCAATGTATAACAATCCCCAGAAGCTGTTGATGTTTTATGTGATCGAATATATAACCAAATAAAGTGAAATATTAAAATATTGCAAGTTGGATATATGCAGTAATGTTTGGTTCTGCAATATTTTAGTGGAAACATTACAGGAGATGTGAATATGATTATGGCAACGAGTGATTATTTGTAATCTTAAGGATACGCACATCTTCACATTTAACCAGTAAACACGTTTATAAATTAAGAGGACATTTCCAGAAACTTTATTGCATTACAGGATTGATTGCTTTAATGTGGTTTGTTGCTTCGATTAAAATATTTAAGACAAATTGGTCGGGAATTAATGGACTCTGGTGTAACATTCACCAGGGTTCAATTGGATGGGGGGGGGGGGATTTCCCCAATTGCTTATTTAATCCCCAGGACTGCATTTTTCTGTTGTCACCTCCGATGGCAGTACATATATATCCCACCTGGATAAAAGTGGAATTGCCAATGCCATGGTTGAGCCTCAGGGTCAGGATCGAACCCACGACCTCCTGTGTACTTGGCGAGGGAGATAACATTTCGCCACCGCAGCACCCGAGCTGATGCTGTAGAGTTGGGGATGGCTACGAGGTGGCCAGATGGCAGCACAGCAGGGTATATTTTTATCTATCTGTGCAGAGTTTTTAATATCAGCCCTCCTACAGGTTCAGAATCAGAATCTTTATTTAGGCTGGAGGAATACAATGAGTTATGAAGCTCTATCACCAATGCCCAGGTTCTCCAGATTCATCCCACAAGGTGGCAACCTCTCAAATTTATTTGGTCAATTATCCCAATGTAGCAGCAGGACCCTCCTGAATGTGACGAGACTCGGTGAAGCTTACCCATGTAAAATGCATTATTTGAACGCATACAACACATGAACACAATATCATCTCTTGTCCTCAATTGTTATTAGTTTCAGTTATTTGTCAGTCTGGTATTAGATGAGGGCCTTCTCATGCCGTGTCAGTCATGGGGATCGTTTAAGAATACTTCACGATGGTCAGTATGGATTGGTGAAAGCCTTTCCATTATATCCCATTTGAAATTGGCCAAATCGCAGCCTTCATAAGCCCTATTGACCTTTTAAGTTAACTTTTCCTAGTTGCATTTGTTTAAGCACATCCACCCAGGATCAGTTTCAACTTCATTAACTCAAACCTCAGAATGAGACTATTGGGCACTGATGTTACAGGCAAATGCAGCCTCACACGGTGCAGGGCTGTCACCTAGTTCTTGGGGATTATCGTAATGTTACGAGCACCGTAAGGTACTGTCGAAGACATACCACTTTACGTGTTGGGTCAATGTTTACATGTAAAAAGTTCTGTTGTCTAATCGTTTAATAAGATGTTCATCCATATGCCTCCGCTCAGGGAATACCTTGCAGAGATGCTTGTACTGGTCGAGAGCCAGGTAAAACCAAGTCGAGCAGATAATGAAAGCTTGAAGAGTTTATAACAAAAATATGAATCCCCGTTTAACGTGACGTTCACACGACGCATTTTTGCTTTAACACAATTTTCCTTTTATGGAACGTTTTTCGCTGAACGCGCACCATGCCCACTATAACTCGCTACGAGTGCCAAGGTAACCTTACCTTGCCTCGTATACAGCAGGTAGTGGGTTCGATCCCATCCCTGATGCCTGTATATTTGGAGTTTGCATTTTCTCCCTGTGGTCGCGTGGATTTTTCTTCGGGTCCTCTGGTTGTTCCCTCCACACTTAGAAAAAAGCGTTTAGAGTATTTGGCTGCTATAAATGTCCAAGTGATAAGCCACTTAGTTGAGCTATCATTTATCACAAGGTCGCTTCTGAAAAGGAGCTATACAACTCAGTGGGCCTTACCTGGTAAAATAAAAAAAAAGTTTAGTTTTAATTCGGGTCTAGCATGTGACAGACTACTTTTATGAGGAGCGTGGGTGTAGGCAGCGTTATTCAGTGATGCTAGGAGCGGGTAACCGGAGTACTGTATTACTGGTGTGCTGTGATACACGGCATGCCTTCCTCAGTCTTTGTTCGAGCATCTTTGTGCGCGTAGCATCATCCACGGTCTATTGCCGTCACTACCTTATCTATCAACTCACCATCTCTTTCACTCACTCGATATTTAAATAAATGACTGTCACACATAGCATATAGAAATATATAAATGCACATCACATGTAAAAAACATGTCAACTCTGAACTAAAAACAATAAAATTACAGGCTGGAACCGCACACACACCTTCACCGTTATTCCTAACGGGAAAATCACTCCCACTGAACGCAAATTCAATTTGCGCGGTAATTTTATGGAATGCAAGCCCTGCATGAAGCAGGGTCTTACTGTATATAAAAACAGGAAACAAAGCAAATGAAAAGGGGGCTGCTATGCGTTATTTACAATGAGCATTACCATTAGACTATTTACTTACATATATTGATATCTTCATGCTGGAAGGCCCCAACTACATCATTCTATTGATAGTAAAAATATATATTTGACTTTAGACAGGGTCTCCATACAACTATGTCTGAAGATGCATTTATAAATTTTACAATTTAAAACCCAGACTTGGATGTAACCTGAAAATTTATTTCATAGCTCATTGTACAAATACCTACATTTCAAATGTACAAGTTTAACTTTGAATAAGGGGCCGTCTATAAATCACGTCACGCACCTAGGGGGGTCAGACATTTGTGACGTGTGACGAGGGGGGGTTTGAGAAATGTGACGTCACATCATAAATATATATAAACACGTTTTACTTAAGTAGAAATGTTATAACACTAATTTAGATTTATTTTCATTATAAACTTTTTGATTATTTACATTTATTAAGGTCACATTTTATTGATAGTATAGTTATATTATAATGTTAAACATAAGTGGAAGTTAAACTACATCACACTTTTATAGAGAATAATACTTCGTCAGGAGGAGGAAGTGAAAATAAAATGTTCATACAGCCGTTATATTAAAAATGCTTGATAGTTTCGAATAAGAATTTTAAAAACGTAAGTACTATTATTCATGTCATATCAATCGACAGAATTTTAAATCACACACATTTGTTTATTAAATATAATTTTTTTAATATATCAGTATTAAATTTGTCAATTATGTTACGATTACATTTATGATATAGAGAGAAAAGTTTTTGGGTACAAAGATATCAAACAGCCATTTTTGAGCATGGAGATATAATGAATCATGGAGTACCTACTAAATAGACGTCATTCGGCAAACGTACAATAGCCCACGCGTCCTCCATGATTCATTATTCCTCCGTGTAATTTTAGTTATTTTTACCCAGAAAATGGCGTCATGCTTCTTTTCACCATTGTCCTACTATAAACCATGAGTGACTGAATTTAACCATTTAGGATCTTTCATTTAACTACGGAGTTCCCTTACGGAAATGAAAACAAAAAAAATTACCGCTCACAATTCAGTATATCGTGTGCACGATTTAGTACTTTACGCGCAAAAAAAGGTTTTTTTTTAATTCCATGAAGAAGCATTTTGCTTCTCCTTGGGAGAATGGAGAAGCAGAAATTTTGTCATTTTTTAATGATTGTTATTAAACATTTTGATTCTAATGATTCTAGCAGGGCTTTTCATTCTATGGAATGAATATGTGATTGTTATCATTGTACTCTCCATTTTGCTTCGTTCTACGACAAAGTTGCAAGTATTTTTTTATCGTTATAATTACTTTTAATATTTGATAATTATAAGAGAATTTCAATATAATATTCTGAACATCTGCAGTTTTAGTTAGACGATGAACATTTTCAAGTGAATTTCATGCTAAATTTCAGCTAACACCTTTTTAATACATGTTTTCTCCTATAACATCAGAGTGCAGCGCCACATTAAATACGCACTACAATGACAATAGTTGAAAGTGATTTGAAGCAGTTTTATTTTCAAAATGGAAATATGGTTTTGGGAGGGGGGGGCAGCTTTGTGACGTCATATTTGTGGGGGGTCTGACTTTTTGTGACGCCGTGTGACGGGGGGGTCAAAAATCGGCCAAAATCGCGTGACGTCATTTATGGACGGCCCCTAAGCATGTTTTTGTTTATTCTTCTTGACACATTGCATATAATTCACGAGGAATTATCACGGCAAATATACTGGAACTCATAAGACTCAACAAATACAAACCATATACACCCAATCCACTTGCACAGAGCCCTTGTGACTGACTGCTCACGAGTGTGGAGTAAACCACACCACCATCTGCAGAGACTTTCAAAGCTCCAGGATGCCCAACAGCCAAGGCTTCGTGCTCCATCTTCCGCATTCAAGACCCCTTTTTTGGCTTCTTGGCTTTGAGAAAGGGCTCGTGAAACACGCTGCTCAGACTCCGAGCCTGAATTTGCACAACGCGACAACAAAACACACACGCATGCCGCTTGTCCAGAGTTGCTTGTATTAATCCAATGCTCCTAAAAAAAGTACTGCCAGAAGGCCCTGTGGCTGATGGATGCATAAAAAATACTATAATTTTTTAAGTGTCGGGGTTAGATAACAGGAGGGGGTATTGTCTGCTTATTTGTTTTGTTATTAATGAAATTGGCTGAAACAAAGTACATTACATTTATTATACATTATAGTACACTTTACGAGGGACTCGAAATATATACAAGTCTTAGATCCATGAGCGACTGCTGAAGATAAACATTCATGATTTTTCGCGACATTCATTATACAACAAACTTGCAAACAGACGAGACTTTTTCCCACGATTTTGGTTGAGTAATCGAACTGATAAATCAATAATCAATCGCCTCAAGATATGTATATCCCAGTATTCATTTTGTTACATTTTTTATGCATTCTCAGTGTAGATGCTCCATCCTTGTAAGTAGTTTTTATAATTTCTTAATAGTTACATTGTTAATTGTTTACGGAAATAATTTTTGTTGACGCATTTAAATAAACATGCATACATAACGTAACTGGAATAAATTTGTGCTTAAGTAAAAGGAATGTAGATCATTTTGGTAGATACATTCAAATAGTGCAGTCCCCAGTTCAAATGGAGACCTGTGAAAACTACTGGACACCTGTGAAAGATATTTTTAGCTTATCAGATTATTTTAGGATAAATATTCTGATTCTTTGATTAATTCTCAATTGATAAGAATAATTTAATCGAGAGAATGTGATTCGTGGAAACTGCATCTCAAAACGGTGAATATTGCGAACCACAACATAAAAAATGTGACGAGGACAGCGCAGAGAAACTAAAATGAGATCAATGCTGTGTGGGTACCGACAACATGGACTAGGCAGGGAGAGAGTGGCCACTTACATCATCATTATCATTGTCTCAATCAGACTCCGCCACTCTTTAGGATGAATAACAATACCTCATCTCAACCATTAAAATATGATATTAATAGAGATGACCACTTCCCAAAAGTCAATTAAGCATGGGGTGACGAGCATGTTAAGTGTGTGCGTGATATATGAACACATGAATACCACGTACTCTGAAAGGGAGCACTAGGCCATGACAATGTGAAGATCACCCACTCTGCCATCCTCACCTTGCGAGGTCCCAGTCCGGGACAGAGTGACAGATCCTCTTTGGATGCCTCCATGATGTTTGCCAGTGACTGGGAAAGATATTCAATAGCAACAAAAAAATGTGAGAAGACGCCATGATGTCACATGATGGGAATAGCATTGATTTGAAGCTTTCGTAACTGCAGGAATCCATACTCGTTGGTTCTTTCGGTAAAGTCATGTAGGTAGAATAAAAAAAACAAAATAAAAATACATCACGACGTTTCGATCGCAACACAAGCGGTCGTCCTCAGGTGGAAAATATAATCCAGCAGTAGAACTGCTGAACCAGCGAGAGAGCTGTTACAACAAGAGGTTATTTATGTGGCGATGGGCAAGCAAGCGGGGTCTGAGCTGGAAAGGAATTCCATCCACGGACGCAAGCACGTCAGTTGTGTTAATGGGGGATATAAGGGAGAGAGAGATTAGGGAGGGAGATTAGCATGAATGAGCTTCCGTCGCCACGTAAGAGAGATTAGCACCATGAGAGTGCAATCCAAAGGGCATGTGAGCATGCGAGGTGCAATCTCCCCCATTAACACAATTGACGTGCTTGCGTCCGTGGATGGAATTCCTTACCAGCTCAGACCCCGCTTGCTTGCCCATCGCCACATAAATAACCTCTTGTTGTAACAGCTCTCTCGCTGGTTCAGCAGTTCCACTGCTGGATTATTTTTTCCGCCTGAGGACGACCGCCTGTGTTGCGATTGAAACGTTGTGATATTATTTTTATTTTTCTACCTACGTGACTTTACCGAAAGAACCATTGAGTATGGGAATAGCATTGTTGGAAAATATATTTTTTGTGTTTGTCCATATTCTGTATCAATAATATAGCCCTTTGTCAATCCACTGCTTGATGAAGACCTCTCCACACCTTGTTGGTCATGGGCTTGTTTGACCATACTTCGCTACTTTAGTCAATGCATGTTTAGTGTAGGTTTTTTTCATCATTTATATTATAAAAGGAAAATTTAGTTAATCTCTGATTTTGCTTTTCATTGAGGCCATCCCTCCATGCCATCACAACTAAGAGGAGCTATTGCGTATTACATGTTTCCAACACATGCTATGCGTAATCACAATATTTGTCGTTCTAATTTTCAAAGAGCAACAACAGTGAGCGACAAAATGCTGTGAAAATAATCTTACCCCAAAAGTGTTCAATAGAGTGATGACATCTGTCTTATTCACGGACTTGATGGTGGTCAGGCAGTCAGTCATCTGCAGAGACGGGGCAAGCCAAGGCAATCGTGTCACTGCACTGTTGCAGTGGGGGATTTGGTGAAGGAAATCCCATTGCTCGGCTGATGCTGATCGCACCATTGGTGTTCGATGTGTACTGAGATGAAGGTTCACACTACAGGGATGCTTGTTTACCCAGGAAAACCTCAGTCTCATGACGTTTTCACAAGGGGGTCCCTCCCTCTCAAGTTAATGCAATAGGTGACGATTGCAGTGTACAGTATATTCCAATTGAATAATTTGTGGGTAATTTTACAAATTTGACAATTCTGGACCATGACGCCAGCACACAATGGCCTACCCCTTTCGAATGACATCGCCACGGCAACTTTAAGGTCCACTGCATTATCTTCCTTGCTTAACCCTAGCCCTAAAGACAGACGAGTCTTGTGTTTGGCCTCGGTCTGAAACGTGCAGAGCAACTTTTACCATCTTCTCTCACCCCCGGCCGGTGTTTCTGACTGCAAAGGCGTCTTGCAGTGCTACTTTCACCGTGTGTGATGTTTACGGTCAATACACAGGCGGTAATCATCGCGCTGTTGCCACCGTCCGCGCAAGTGTTTGAGAGACGCACGCGAGACAAGTAGTCCTGCTCCACACGCTCCTTCAGCAGGTCGGCCGGCTTGTTCTCGTACGCCTTGTACGTCTCCAGGTAGCGGGCCACCTCCTCCGGGCTGTCGGCGTGCATGCAGGGAAAGTATGAACAATGTAAACAAAAAGGCGTTGTTTTCTAACCCTAATTTATATTTGTACAGCGCCTTCACTCAAGGCGCTTGACAAAGCGTACAGAGCGGTGACACAGAATGTAATGATGTAGTTTACAAGGGCGGATTGAGGAATGAGAAGGATTGAGGAATGAGTGACAGCGATATAGGGTAGTTAAGGATCACAAAAGGGTAGGGGAGGGATGGGAAAGTGGAAGGAAGAGGAAGGGAATGGGAAATGGAGAAGAGGTGTGCTTTAAGAGAGGAATGGAAGGAGGTTAAGGAGGGGGTCTGCTTCATGTACAAGGAAAGATTACAGTGGAGGATGCAAGTAGGGAGGACTGAAAACGGGAGTGGGCACAGGGAGAGGGAGGGACAGAGAGACAGAGAAGATTGGATATGAAGAGAACAAGAGGCGACACGGAGATGAGGGAGGCGAGAATACTCCTTGGAATATTTAACCCAAAAAATAAGCAACTCTTGCAGCTACACACAGAGGCTGTGTGTCCCGGGTTGTGCAAGCTTGAACAGTCCATCACCAGCCACGGTCTATCCACCGTTGAATGAGGGCTTCCCCAAACCCTCGCCATCTCTCGTGGTCCTGCGATGAGGTATTTAATTTCTTTGTATAGAGTAAATGTCCACTAATTTTGATCCAACAGCTGGCCTTGCTGCATGATGTCCACAGTTATACATCTCGTTTTTTCACACTGAAACTTTTAGTGATGAACAAAAAAAATACTTGAACATCACATTTTGGAGCACTGGAGTGATGTCAGTGACTTTCAGTATTTTTTTGTTTATCTTTTCCCAGTTGTGTTCCCAGTGTTGCTGTTGGTATCATGTCTTGAGAAAGATAATCTGATGAGGAAACCTCTGGAGCAGCACGCCCCATGTGGCAGAAAAGTCCGTCGAAGAGATTTTTCACAGGCCTTCAAATCTTTTAATTGGATTTAAAAAATTTACAGAGTAGGAAGCTCACTTTCTCAACTGCTTGGGAATGCAAATCTTTTTGTACATGACGGTCAAAATTATGTTAAATTTTCCTGAGCTGGAATTCATCCAAATTAAATATGATGGGATTTTGTGCAGTCAACTCACTAACCTTGAGAAAGCAGTTTAACCATGGGCACCTTGCTGCATTAGAACCTGGGACCTCAGTGGTGCAAGCTTAGCTCTCCGACCTCTGAACCACCCAGCCACCTGTGCACTAGTTTCAGTAACATCATTGTGGTCACGGCAGATTGTCTATTGTAAGCTTCAGGAACAAAACCGCCCTATTAAGAAACATGAACCGTGAATAAGAACAAAACCCTAAGAAACACACACCATGAACTCAACATTAACAAGCTCCAAGCACTACATTGCATCCCTTGACATGTGTAAATGCAGAAGCATGTGTGGGTATTGGCACAGCGGTTAGTGCACTGCCAAATGATCCTGGTTATCAGAATTCAATTCAAACACTGCCAAGCGTCCTTTATCAAAGCTCTTACCTCCAGGCCAGAATGAGAGTGCACTCTGCCAGGATGCACATCTTGGCCAGCTCCTTGAGTGCGTGGTGTGGGTCCTTCTGCTCGTACCACACATGAAGCAGCCCCCTCATCAGCAGCAGCGACGCTCTCTCCAGCAAGGCTTATGGGGATGATTTCAAACACAAGCTGGACAATGCTCTACGGCCGCCTTATGCGAGCTCCTTGTGGAGGGCTTCTCGGCACTTCCCGTCTCGCCTGTCGCCCCCACCGATGTCCTTTTCGTGCACCCCCCCCCCCCGCCAATGTGTGCAGATACTACTGACCCTATTGTACGTCTTTATTGGAAGGGGGTGACGTCGACAATGTTTGAAAACCTATTGGATCAACTCAGTTGACGGATAAACGGAACACCAAGCTTTTATCATAATAGATTATGACTGAGTAATGTCAAATCTAATGATCGTCGAGAAGATGTAAACGATGGACAACTGGTACATATTATTACCACCGAGTTACAAGACTCCGGTGTTCAGATGAAGCGAGGTGCTCAGCTTGCGTACCGGGGCTATAGAGATTATCGCACCACCGTGAGAGATACGACGGCTTGGGAAGGCCTTCATTCAGCAGTGGATAGGTCATGACTGAAGATAATCAAATTACGATGTGCTTGTCTACTCGAAGCGCGGACATCGTAGATTCTAGGAAGCAACCTAGTAAACGAGCAATGTTGGGGTAAAAATATTGGCGTGCATTTGGTACCGCTGATCCAACATTAGTCCAATATTCCCATGTTTACTGGGAATTTCCACCAATTTTAATGTTATCCGCATTTTCACACTGATAATTATAGGATGACATTGCTATAACTTCTGGGTTATTCCTCTCGTGCATGCTCCTCGGTGGATTGCAGGCACGGGTTTCCGTGTGCGCTGCCGTTGCACAGCGCTTCTGTTGCATGGCACTGGTGCAGAATCTCACCACGTCGACCTGCACCAGAAGCACGCGGAGGTCGAACGCCTGACCCAGCTGCTTGAGGCGCTCGTGGACGTAGTTGGGGTTGAGGTTGTGATACCGCAGGCTGCGGGGGACACACGGACGGTCACTGCCGGCGGCAACAGGAACTCGTGCGTTCACTGGCACCTTTAGGCAATTGCAGCATGGAGGCACTTTGGTGGCAGCAGTAGATGCCACAGATCCAGCTGATCGGAAGTGTTAGCATCTTAATCAAGGGTGGTGTGGTTTAAAGTGGAGCGAATGCCTGCGATATTTAGACCATTGAATCAAAATAGATTTGTGCATTTTTCTCATTTCAGTTTTAGTAATGGAGTACATAAAAGTTTTGACCGTTGAAAATCATCCCTTAATTTTCTTCAGTCAATGTCTCTTAACTTGTGCATGATCTCTAATCTCGCTACCGTGCAGCACCATGGTGGTGAGATTTTAACTACCTTGCCTGGTATGCAGAAGGTCGTGGGTTTGATCCCAACCTTGACGCCTGTCTATGTGAAGTTTGCATGTTCTATCTCTCCGTGGTCGAGTGGATTTTTCTTCGGGTTCTCTGGTTTTTCCCTCCACATTTAGAAATATGCATTTAGATTATTTGTCTGGTATAAATTGAGCAATAATTTGTGGCCACGTCACTTCAAAAAAAAAAGCGCTGTATATCTCAGTGGGCCTTAGTAAAATATTTGTTTTATAGTTTAGTTTCATCCACGTGTTCCTCTTTCTCTGTAAAGATGCAGCGGCAGCCAACAGAGGATAACACTTAAAATTATATTCACCGCAGAGATGAGGGGATGAAATCAGCTCGCGTGCAGGGGCCAGATGGATGATTGCTTTGCGAGAATGTGAGAGATAGCGGCAGCTTGCAGGCGCCTACATTCCGCAGTGGACTGATTGAGGTGCATGATTACGGGTACCCTTGCAACGCGAGCAAGAGCAAGGAAATGTTTCTACACCTGGCATTGGCGACTGACGGGAGCTCCCCCTTGGCCTGTGTGTCTCACCTGAGGAAGAGTGCGCAGGAGGTCTGCCCCATTACATAGTCTGGGACCACGTCCGCAATCTCCCAAGGCACGTTCCGCACAAACTTGAGCACGGGGTTCCCACGCTGCCAGTATCACCACAGCAGCAGCAGCGGGATGCAGCACAATGTTACCATGCATTAGAATCTCCGCTCTCGCCTCTTACTTCCCCATCATTTCAATTCTCCGTGTCATAACAAGACGAATACACATTTCTTACACTACTGCTGAAGTAGTATAAGATACTGTATCATGGGGAATAACATTTCCAGATTAAGCCAGAAGTTAATGAAAAGAACGCAAAGTTACTTTTTTATGAATTGAGATTTGAGTACCGTGGACGTTATAAATGTTTCACATTGATAGCTGGTGGTAGGTCCGTGCAATCCCAGTCACAAGGAATCTAAAGGAGTTTACATATATTCCATTGACCTTGTAAGGCATTTGTCCAGTTCCCTAATGGACTGAACTGTTTCGTTGCCTTTAGGATGCTGTGGGAGGAACATTTGGTGAACACACTGCCTGCCCCGCACTCACCAAAAACAAAGATTCCCAGTATAGCCTGAAAGACCGTAGGAGCAAGTGTTGTTAGTAAGTACCAATGAAGGCTGGCAAAGCACATGAGGGGGTGGATGGCCAACATCATGCCCGACCACCTTAGTCTCACCAGTGGCGATGTTTACATATCGTACCATAACCGGTTCAGATAATCGTCACTGGTGTTGGGTTGCCGGGTTCGTAGCACGGCACGCTAATCGCTTCACCACCACTCCTCGCAATCACCTGTCGGGGGTTCACCAGCAAGCTGTTGCTCTTGCCGGCCGCCTTGGGGGCCACAACAGCCATGGCATCGACACCACCTGCAGCTCTACTTGTACCCGAAGCCTCACGTTTCCCCGAAGCCTCTCGGCTTCTCACCACCTCGACGAGCGGACTGTCAGCAGCTCGGGCAGGCATGCTGGTCTCCTGGTCTGGGCACCCTGTGGGAGCAAGGTTAGTGTGCGTCATCGCGTGCACACAGGGCAGAGCGTATCAGAATAAGGGGGCCCACTCCCAATGTCCGCGTCACTGAGCTCAGCATACTTTTCCGTTTACACACAATAGCCACCCTAAATCCATTTCGATGTTTCTGTAACTTAATTTTACTATGAATGGTTTCTAATAGTAAATTGTCCGAGTCATTGTTTGATACAGGACATTTATTTGGTTTAATATTGACTACCTATGTGTGCTTATATTTATTCTGCTGTAACTTGGTTCTTTTTACTTCAATTTTTATTGTTTTTGCTTCGATATCTACTTTTGTTCATCATTGTACTTGGTTTTGTGTTCTTGCTTTGGTAATTTTGGTGACCCAGGTTACTCTTACAAAGGATACTCTATCCTGGTCTCTTGAGTTCCAACCTGTTTACACAAAAATAAATTTGGCACTTGCCTGGGTTTCACCCTACAAGAAAAAATATGGGATGAGTGAAATACTATCAGGGGATCCACTACATTTCTACTTATGCCAGCTCACAAGGTTATCGACAAGTGTCTCCTAGCCCATCAATCAGGTTACCTAGAGGGTTACAAGGTGACCTAATTCTAACCTGCCTCATCATCCACAAACATCAGACAGCCCAATCATCCAAAAGACAAGGAGGGTAATGACACCATCTTCTCAAGAGTGGACAAATAGACTCCCGTCTAACACAACAGCTCTTTGTTTAGGGTTTAAAAAGTGTAAGCGCAAGGTCCAGCAGTGGATTGATCACAGCTGATATCATGATGAAACAAATTCGAATACCAAATAGCACTGATGTCGTTAATTCCAGCCAGGAATGAAAACCTGTGTTATAAGGATCACAGCGTGGTTTATTCTCTAACCACTGTGCTAAGGCGCTCGCTAATACCCCAACCTGATGACACGGCCCAGAAGTTGGTCGCGCATTCGCCGCTCATTGCAGAAGTTCCTGGTTCCCAGGCCACCCTGATTATTGCCGGTGTCATGGTACAGATTTTACAAATTTGAAATATTATCTGCAAATTACTCAATTGGGATTACATACAGTAGCATCGCCCCCTACTGCTAAACTACTGCAAACTACTTGAAACCCAGTAGCGCCTTCCTTCGTGACAGTCTTACGCGATACCAGGGGTCGGGCAACCAAAATAACAAGGAGTAATTTTTGTTCGAATTCGGTAAAAAAACGCAAATTTTCAAGAGCCGCAATGCACGTGAATACGAGACGGTGGTACTTAATAAATAAAATCACGAAGCAGTCCTTAAAGAACCACGTGCGGCTCCGAAGCCGCAGGTTGCCGACCCCTGCGATATACGACTTACACGAATACCAAAACATACTAAATTATAACGACACAAATCCACAGGCTGATTACAGGACCTGTGGAGTCTGTCTCTGCGTCTCTGCCGAATGGCCTCGACGCTTCTGCTGGAGTGGCCTTGTCCGCACCGCCGGCCTGTGGACCAGGTTCACTGGGCCCTGCGGGGTTGCTGCTAGCTGGGTCGGAGGGAGCTGGCGGCTGCTTCTTGCTCTGCTCCATGACGTAGTCGGCATAGCTGCCCTTATGTGGCCCGGGTGGTGGCATCTCCTCCACGCTGTCTTTTTCAGCTGTCTTTGTGAGGCCAGATCTGAACAGAGGCCGAGGCTGCACAAGAGACAAGAAACGTTCAGTCAAGGGAAAATTAATCAAGCTTGACATCTGATAAGCAACTTCATTTGTGGTCAGGTCGCTTCTGAGAGCTATATAGCTCAGTAGGCCAAGCTTGGTCAAATAAAATGAGTTAATGGTTTCGTTAACAGCTGAAGCTTCAAGGGAAAGGGAGTGTGACGGATGTGGGGAGCGGTGGCGCAGCGGTTAGCGCACTGCGCTGTGAACCCGGCCACCCAAGTTCGATTCCCGCTGACGGCCACCAACAACAACAGCGGCCAATGTGTTGACTCGGTCCTGAATCCCGAGCCTCCCCTAGGTCGACTCAGCCCCGGATGGAGGCCCCGATACCAGGCGAGTATAAACCACCGCCGCTCCCTTCGCGTGCTGTGTTGGCCACCACATGCGCTACTCGCTAACGGCAACTGAACCCCCCTCCCCCCCACCAAAGGCCTCCGCTGTGTGGGCTACAATTGGGGAGCTTTGCCTCGGCGTGAGACAGCGCCGACGATGCCCAGCGTGGCCACGTCCGTCAGCACTGGGCACGTCACCTCAGACACCCGCCTCTCGTACACGTCCTCCACCCTCGGAATGTCGAACTTCTTCTTGGCGTCCATGTCGCTCACCTCCACCGCACACGCGGGAATCTAAACGTTAATTATAAACAACAACATTCATTCGTAACACCGCCGCCGCCGCCACACACGGAGTTCGTGCCGAGCCGATCTCAACAGCGTCAGCTGGGGGACGCGACGGAAGCGCGCAGAGGCCAAAACCAGGCGAGACACGAAATCGCGTTTTGTGACCGCGAGCGCCGCCACGTGGCCGCCGAGGATCGGACACGCGTTTGATGGCGTTGCCACCTGTCCGTGTTTGACCGGATTGATAAGCTCAGATTCCTTGATTGTTGAGGATTTAAATTTATTTGAAGAGATTGGTAAAATTGGTCATTTTAATTACCGGTAACCGCATGTAAACAGGGCGGTTATCGGTTTGCCGTACATACACAAATGTCTGAACTTTTGAGGATCCAACGTAACAACACGTGAACCTCATGGGACCTCCTTTGCCAGTACCAAAGTATGAGAATAGTTTTTGTACACTTTTTTCTGGCAACAAAAAAACACCTTTTACAAGGAATCATGTCTGCATTCACCACAGTACTTGTAAATGTTGTGGCTTGGCTCTCCAACACACCGGTGTGCTGTACTAGTGACGAATTGGCCACGTTCTGTTTACGTGACAACCCTTACTAGTTGGCTGTGTCGGGTGGTGGTGGGTTTTAACGACACATTTATATATTTACGCGACCTAACCCAAAAAAAACTATATTATGGATGATATTGGTCGCGAAAGCCTACGTTTTAAACTGTTCACATGTTGAGAATAGGTTTTGCCCCCTTTTTTCTGGCGACAAAAAAAAACCTTTTACGCGCACAGCGCTCAATGCAAGCCTGTGTCTTTTCGGTATTTAATTCTCGCCGCCTCCCGAGCCTCAGAAATCCGGCGCAGGGAGTCACCAACATGGACCGGCAGGGTGGATTTGGTGCCGCCAACAGGCGCCCCCAAATTGAGCATCTATAGGCGGTACATTTTTCCTCCCATACATAAGAAAAAAACGGCAAAAATCCCGTGTTAGCATGCGGGGCCATCCTGTACACTTGGAACATGCATCCTGTACACTTGGAACATGCATCCTGTACACTTGGAACATGCATCCTGTACACTTGGAACATGCATCCTGTACACTTGGAACATGCATCCTGTACACTTGGAACATGCATCCTGTACACTTGGAACATGCATCCTGTACACTTGGAACATGCATCCTGTACACTTGGAACATGCATCCTGTACACTTGGAACATGCATCCTGTACACTTGGAACATGCAAATCCCAATCGGCCTGTTTAGCATCCACAGCGTGACAAAGCATGCCGGTGAAGGTCAGATTTAATAGTTCTACTATACCATCGGTCTAAGGGTGGTACGGCGACGTCCTGATTTTCTTAGTGCCCAGTGCGTCGCAACCTCGCGTAACAATTTAGAAGAAAAATTACGACCTTGGTCCATCAGCAGTTGTTCCGGAGCACCTTTGTCCATATCATAACCATTTAAGAATGCATCAGCGATAGAGGTCGCCGATTGGTCAGGCAATGGGCAAGCCATCGGCCACCGAGAGAAATATTCCACTCCCACCAAAATATATTTGTTTCCCCTAGGAGTGATCGGAAAGGGGCCCAGTATGCATCTCAGCTCTTAACACGGGAGTCAATGGGAAATCGATGATCGTTTAACGAATTTTCGCTTATCGTGGAATGCATCTCGCTAATTAAGTGAGACACGACCGTGTATTAAAGACAAGCCAAAGTAACAGTCGGGCCATTGTGGCCATGCAACCCAAACTATGTACCACAGAGTAGGAGGAACAGCGAAACAAAAGCTCCCTGTCCTGAAGCCCTCGTCGTGGCCAGCAGGACATGGACATTCAGGTCCTGAACGTATTGCCATCATAGGCTAGAATACTGGAGTTGTTTCCTCCCATAGCTAAACAACATCTTCCACACACACACACAACCTAACTGCTCTTGGCAAAAAATATCTCAATGCTGGAAAATTACCTTCAAATTGCAGCAGAGTCGGCATTTGGACTTGCACAAAACATCAGCAGCAGCATCATCATCGCCCCCCTACAACAACCACGTGGCACCCCGATAAACACGCTGGTTACCGTAATGGTTATGATAATGAGCATGGTGATCATGATCATTAACTATTCAACTGTACTACAATCACCTTGCTGCTCCGCATCTAAATAGAAAAGCTTATTTCTAAATTTAAAACTAATTTATTTAGAAAAAAAAATTGAAATCGGTTGGTTCCGTACGGTGCGAAAGAAGTTCACGGTACATTTGCCAAGTCGCCTCCATCCATCCGCGCGTCTTCCTCCCTACGCCTCCCTCGTCCACTCCCTGCCAACAACAAAGCTCCACCACACGAGGTGAACACAACAACAACCACCACCACCACCACCAAACTCACCGACTCCACGAGGCACCAGGCACGGACGATGAACACCGGTTCGCCTCCTTACCCATGGGCCATGCCTCCACACACACAGACACACAGACAAAACAATGGCTTCTACCGTACGGCTGTTGTATTGTTGTTGTTATTATTATCGCTGCACATACTCTGCAATGGTTATGGTTGGCAGTGTTTATAGGGAGATGGCGAGCTGACGAAACACGAAGTTGTGTGGGCCTGGCACTGTTACGGAACGTGTGTAGTGATCACGGTTAGCTAACCCCATTGAGTCTTCACGCCCCTTATTTAACCATCTGAGTTACCTGTACAGTTACTAATTAACTTTATTCATTCACTCATAAGAGAGAACGGGTTGTTAATGGTCTCCTTAGGGGACGCCCTATCTCTTGCGTGAACATCCATCATCTGATTTAACCGTGAATTTGTGGTCATATCTGGCTGTGCGTTAAACGGTACACACCAATGTGTGTGTGCTTCGTTACTGGCTGATGTACTTTAGCCCACGACCGGCATGGACATCTGACAAGCGTTAATGCCGTTCCTTGTTTTGTCACAGAGCCACAAGGCCACAACGCCCGTGCGCCATGTGAGAGTTCTTTCGCTTTCTCAATCGAGCAAGGTCGTAGGAAGTTGTGAAAATAACTGATGGGATTTATAATTCCATGGTGTTGCAGTGCATAGATAGAGGAGTGTGTGGTTGAGTGAGTGGTTGAGTAAGTGGTTGAGTGAGTGGTTGAGTGAGTGGTTGGGTGAGTGGTTGAGTGTGGTTGAGTGTGTGGTTGAGTGAGTGGTTGAGTGTGTGGTTGAGTGAGTGGTTGAGTGTGGTTGAGTGTGTGGTTGAGTGTGTGGTTGAGTAAGTGGTTGAGTGTGTGGTTGAGTGAGTGGTTGAGTGAGTGGTTGAGTGTGTGGTTGAGTGTGTGGTTGAGTGAGTGGTTGAGTGTGTGGTTGAGTGAGTGGTTGAGTAAGTGGTTGAGTGTGTTGTTGAGTGAGTGGTTGAGTAAGTGGTTAAGTGAGTGGTTGAGTGAGTGGTTGAGTAAGTGGTTGGGTGTGTGGTTGGGTGAGTGGTTGAGTGAGTGGTTGAGTAAGTGGTTGAGTGAGTGGTTGAGTAAGTGGTTGAGTGTGTGGTTGAGTGTGTGGTTGAGTGAGTGGTTGAATGTGTGGTTGAGTGAGTGGTTGAGTGAGTGGTTGAGTGTGTGGTTGGGTGAGTGGTTGGGTGAGTGGTTGAGTGAGTGGTTGAGTGAGTGGTTGAGTGTGTGGTTGAGTGAGTGGTTGAGTGTGTGGTTGAGTGTGTGGTTGAGTGAGTGGTTGAGTGAGTGGTTGAGTGTGTGGTTGAGTGAGTGGTTGAGTGAGTGGTTGAGTGTGTGGTTGAGTGAGTGGTTGGGTGTGTGGTTGAGTGAGTGGTTGAGTGAGTGGTTGAGTGAGTGGTTGAGTAAGTGGTTGAGTGAGTGGTTGAGTGAGTGGTTGAGTGAGTGTTTGGGTGGGTGTCACTGCGACGCTTGTTTAGCCAGGAAAACCTCACCGAGTGTCATGACTAGTTTCCAGGAGGGTCCTGCCAAGTGTGTTTTATTTGCAGAAGAAGTTCGATGTTTGCTATATTCCAAATGAGTCAGTCGTACAGTACAGGGTGGTCCAGATGTCTTGCAACCCCATTTAATTCTCTATAAAATGTAATATTTTTTATTTAAAGTAAGATATTTTTTTCAAACATAAATTAATATATTCTTGGGTCTTTCGGTAAAGTCACGTAGGTTCAAAGAAAATAATCAAATCTGTTATTTTTGATTATGTTATTTGAACCGACGTGACTTTAACGAAAGACCCAAGAATGTGAATTCCTGCAGTCACGAAAGCTTTAAGTCATAAATTTATATGCCCAGGAAAACAATAATACGGTGACATGGCCCAGTGGTAGCGCATTCGCTACTTGGAGGTTCGTGGTCCCATTCCAGAAGGACGCTCCGGTTATCAAGATGGGTTTGTTAATCATAAATAAGTCATATTTTAAAAAAACTTTTTTAAAAACACGCTTTAATGAAATGTACCGTACTAGTAATGGAAGAACTCCACGACTCCAGGAAGTGGCCCCGAAGCTTGCCACAACGTAAGGGGACCGTGGTGATTTACAGCCAACGTCAGTTGACCATGGACAATTAGACCCAAGCCGAAACATGACATATAAAAAATAATGTTTAAAAATATATTTTTTATTATTAATAATAGAATATAGTATTGTCATCAGTAAGACATAAGTATACTAAGTTTGCAGTCGATACCACATTGGGAAGTGGATTAAAATTGAGTTACAAGAATTGAGGATACAACGACAGACAGAGTGAGTTATTAAAAAGCGTGTAAATAAAAAAAGCTCACCGTCTGCTTCGCACCGGACGTTAAACATCCGCTACCGGCAGCCTAATGCCTGAGCCCCCTTGTACCAACAGGGACAGCTGCCATTCGGGTGCCTTTGCACGTTTGAAATGAGATTTTATGTAATTCGGTCATCACGTGTAAAGCGCCCTGATAACGACGAGCCGGGGGGTGGGTGAGTGTTGTTGTGACCCGCAGTGGGGTGGTTGGACAGAGTGTGGATGAGACGAAACTTGCAGTCTGGTATATACATCAAGTTTCACGTCGAGTTTGTGTAACCAGGTGAGAATCCAAGAAGAGGCCAGGATGGAGCCTCATTTGCAAGATTGACCTCGGGTATTAGTCTGCCAGTAAGGGGCAATGATTGCTGTGTGTGTGTGAGATCCCAATTGAGTACGTATAGTAGATTTCGATTTAAAGCTTTCGTGACTGCAAGGATTCATCTTCTTTGGTTCTTTCGGTATAGTCACGTAGAATGAGAATAAAATAATAAATTGATAAAATAAAATAACACAATAAAATTCCCACGACGTTTCGGCCACAACACAAGCGGCCTTCATCAGGTGAAGGGACGAGACTGTCTGGAGGACAGCACTGTCCTCCAGACAGTCTCGTCCTGAAATCAACAGCACTGTCCTCCAGACAGTCTCGTCCCTTCATCACCTGATGAAGGCCGCTTGTGTTGTGGCCGAAACGTCGTGAGAATATTATTGTGTTATTTTATTTTATCAATTTATTATTTTATTCTCATTCTACGTATAGTAGATCATTAATTATCCAGCGGCTTTGGGGGGCGGGGGGTTGGATTTGAAAACACGCCGAATAATCACAATTAAAATAGCTTATTTTTGCATATTCTTAGATAGCATGTTTTAGGTGTTGTTTTTTGTGTTTTAAACGTGTTTACTATGTGACATTTTCATAAATAAACATACAAATTTGACGAAAATAAATATCCTACTTGAAAAAGTCATTGTATTTACTCTACCGTACTTACCACTCCAATCCCATAGACTCTGCATTGGGTGATGTACATATGCTCTTGTTTCTGTAACATGTGTTTGACGATCGTTGGACTGATGCATCCTTTAGACCGTTGCTCCGGCGAACGTCGAATCTTGCCGGATTGCACTGTATAGTTTCTCCTTTTTTATTAGTCTTGAAAACATATACGTGCAGTATTTTCATTGTTTTAGTAGTTTATATAGTGTATAATATACTGCATGTAATATTTGGCACTGAAATCAAGCAAAACTACTTTTTTTTTCCACACGCATGGTGCCGATCGCTGGACTGGAGTGTTTTTTTCCGGATCAGCCCTGGACCACCAGATAATGTTGGAAGCGGGATAATCGTGCGCCGGATAATCGATTATCAACTGTAATTTGACAATCATTTTTGTAATTTGGCAAATTTGAATCGTGGCGTCGGCACAAAAATGGCCTACTCTTGCGAATATCGTCACTGGATCTTTAACGTCGCCATTGATACGCCAAGTGCCAGGATCATGTTATTGAGGAAAAGCACGGGGTGGCTGGGGCCGCTGGGATGGTTACGTCCAGGACCGCATTAGCGTGACGAGCACGCGCCTGCGTGAGGCCGCCGGTCTGGAGGATGCCCGTGATGTTGATGCCTGTTGTCTCGTCGATGCCCGTGTTGGACTTGCTCCGCTCGCTTGCGGGCTGGTGCACGTTGACCAGATGATGCTTGTGTCATTTGGAGCCTAGGCTCAGCAGCGGCAGCGTCTTGCGCTCATGCGGATGGCCCTCATCCGGTGTCTCGGGGCGGTCGAATCGGCAGTTGAGGTGGCAATACTCCACTGAGCACGCCCGCTCTGTCCAGTTGTCTGGCTGGCTATCCTGTTATTCCATGTTTATTTCCAGTGTCATCTTCCACTTTCACATGACATGTGATGTCATGCATATTGACAATTAAAAAAAACTTGGTTGACAAGTATATATAGTTGGTTTCCTTTTAAGAAGTAAAAAATATCTCCGCTAAACTGAACGCTGCTTATATTCTGAGATCCGGTGCATTCAGGGTGAGTCAATTGCAGTGAGTGAAGGAGGCGCGGTGATTTATTAACTTAACCTCATCGCCCCTGGCTCTGGTATCGTTTGTTCCTCTGAGTGGGCAGAGAGGGAGGACACACGGCGCGCGGCCATGTCCACCTCCCGCAGGGCCCGGCCCAAGAAGCTGGCGCCGGCGACGGCTCTGCCTGCGGACTCTGTGCGGTTCATGGGCGAGTCAGTGGGTGCCTTCCCACTGGTGGACGACGCGTGCGAAACACTCGCGGAGAACGTTGTCCTTCGCCTGCGTCAGCTGCTGCAGGTCTGGGGCGGGGGCGGGGGGGGGGGGTAGCCACGGTGGCGACATGTTAACAACCTCACCTGGTATACAGTAGGTCGTGGGTTCTATTCCGACCCCGACGCCTGGATATTTGGAGTTTGCATTTTCTGCCCTGTGGTCGCGTGGATTTTTCTTCAGGTCCTCCGGTTTTTGGAAACATGTGTTTCGAGTATTTGGCTGCTATTAATGTCCACATGATGATAAGCCACTTTGTTGAGTTATGATTCATAGCTAAGTCGCTTCTGAAAAATAGCTATATAGCTTAGAGGGCCTTACTTGGTAAAATAAAAAATAGTTTAGCGGCGGCGATAATAGTGGTGGCGGTGGTTTAGAAGTGCGTGCTGCGTGTTCCTGTCTCCACCGCCGCCACTCAGGTTTGGCCAGGTGGCTTGGCGGGAGAGCGAGCGGCTCGAAAGCAGAAAGATTTTGGGTTCGGTAAATAATTCAGGTTTGAGTGTCGGCGCCGTCATTCAGAGCGACATGAACCGGAGCGGACGCCGCTACAGTGTAGAAGCCCTGTGATATACAGTGAGGGAAATAAGTATTTGATCCCCTGCTGATTTTGTACGTTTGCCCACTGACAAAGAAATTACCAGTCTATAATTTTAATGGTAGGTTTATATGAACAGTGAGAGACAGAATAACAACAACAAAATCCGGAAAAACGCATGTTAAAAATGTTATAAATTGATTTGTATTTTAATGAGGGAAATAAGTATTTGACCCCTCTGCAAAACATAACTTAGTACTTGGTGGCAAAACCCTTGTTGGCAATCACAGAGGTCAGACATTTCTTGTAGTTGGCCACCAGGTTTGCACACATCTCAGGAGGGATTTCTGGCTCCCAGGTGTCTTTTATAAGGTAACGAGCTGAGATTAGGAGCACACTCTTAAAGGGAGTGCTCCTAATTTCAGCTTGTTACCTGTATAAAAGACACCTGTCCACAGAAGCAATCATTCAATCAGATTCCAAACTCTCCACCCTGGTCAAGACCAAAGAGCTCTCCAAGGATGTCAGGGACAAGATTGTAGACCTACACAAGGCTGGAATGTTCTTTGGTTCTTTCGGTAAAGTCACGTAGAATGAGAATAAAATAATAAATTGATAAAATAAAATAACACAATAATATTCTCACGACGTTTCGGCCACAACACAAGCGGCCTTCATCAGGTGAAGGGACGAGACTGTCTGGTAGGACAGCACTGTCCTACCAGACAGTCTCGTCCCTTCGTCCCTTCACCTGATGAAGGCCGCTTGTGTTGTGGCCGAAATGTCGTGAGAATATTATTGTGTTATTTTATTTTATCAATTTATTATTTTATTCTCATTCTACGTGACTTTACCAAAAGAACCAAAGAAGATGAATCATTGCAGTCACGAAAGCTTTAAATCGAAATTTAAGGCTGGAATGAGCTACAAGACCATTACCAAGCAGCTTGGTGAGAAGGTGACAACAGTTGGTGCGATTATTCGCAAATGGAAGAAACACAAAAGAACTGTCAATCTCCCTCGGCCTGGGGCTCCATGCAAGATCTCACCTCGTGGAGTTGCAATGATCATGAGAACGGTGAGGAATCAGCCCAGAACTACACGGGAGGATCTTGTCAATGATCTCAAGGCAGCTGGGACCATAGTCACCAAGAAAACAATTGGTAACACACTACGCCGTGAAGGACTGAAATCCTGCAGTGCCCGCAAGGTCCCCATGCTCAAGAAAGCACATATACATGCCCGTCTGAAGTTTGCCAATGAACATCTGAATGATTCAGAGGACAACTGGGTGAAAGTGTTGTGGTCAGATGAGGCCAAAATGGAGCTCTTTGGCATCAACTCAACTCGCCGTGTTTGGAGGAGGTGGAGGAATGCTGCCTATGACCCCAAGAACACCATCCTCACTGTCAAACATGTAGGTGGAAACATTATGCTTTGGGGGTGTTTTTCTGCTAAGGGGACAGGACAACTTCACCGCGTCAAAGGGATGATGGACGGGGCCATGTACCATCAAATCTTGGGTGAGAACCTCCTTCCCTCAGCCAGGACATTGAAAATGGGTCGTGGATGGGTATTCCAGCATGACAATGACCCAAAACACACGGCCAAGGCAACAAAGGAGTGGCTCAAGAAGAAGCACATTAAGGTCCTGGAGTGGCCTAGCCAGTCTCCAGACCTTAATCCCATAGAAAATCTGTGGAGGGAGCTGAAGGTTCGTGTTGCCAAACGTCAGCCTTGAAACCTTAATGACTTGGAGAAGATCTGCAAAGAGGAGTGGGATAAAATTTCTCCTGAGATGTGTGCAAACCTGGTGGCCAACTACAAGAAACGTCTGACCTCTGTGATTGCCAACAAGGGTTTTGCCACCAAGTACTAAGTTATGTTTTGCAGAGGGGTCAAATACTTATTTCCCTCATTAAAATGCAAATCAATTTATAACATTTTTGACATGCGTTTTTCTGGATTTTGTTGTTATTCTGTCTCTCACTGTTCAAATAAACCTACCATTAAAATTATAGACTGATCATTTCTTTGTCAGTGGGCAAACGTACAAAATCAGCAGGGGATCAAATACTTTTTTCCCTCACTGTATAGGTTGGAGGTAAACTCAACCCATGATCCCTGATACATCATTTCATCTTTCCTCACGCCAATGATACATGCATTTCTTCACGTGTGTATGAATGGATTACCATAAATTAATATGCATTGTTTGTTATTAGGTCATGCGATCCCTTGCAGCTACTGCAGGCAAGCAATATTATGCATTATAGCATTTAAAATAATCGGTGAATTGAGACATGACCCTGGATCATGAATTGTGGGCGTTTGTGGGTGGGGGTCGGTGGGGAATCGCGAAACGGTGGTGGAGACCGCTCATCCCGTCTCCGTGCAGTCCTGGCAGCAGCACTGCCCCAGCAGCCATTCGGGGCCTTCTCGGTGTTGACGGTCGTGTGATGCACGTTTCAAGTTGATCTTGTTTAACCAGGTGACTTGGGTCACCGAAATGATTTTGCTTTCGAGTCTTTGCAGGAGGCGGCCAAGTTCACGCGAGCGAGCAAACGGCGGCGGATGAGCACAGGGGACCTCGACTTCTCATTGAAAACGATGAATGTGGAAGTGAGACCTCTGCCCCCCCCTGGTGCTACCTTTGATTGTTTTTAATGATTAAATGATAATAATTTGTGTCATTGTGGAGAACGTAAAATCACAAAATAGGTGAGCAGAAAACTCGTCTCCATCTTATACCTGTCTGTTCACGTAACAAAATGAATGCATTTATACACGACCCATGGGCACAACGGCCTTCTAAGAGTACACAAATTTAGCAGCTTTGATTCAGTAGAAGTGAACTCTGGACTGGTTTCACCATGGTGCCAATATCGGTTGTGATGCAGTGGTTATGATGTTCTTATTGGTGTTGTTGGTAGTGGTAATATAAACAAGCAAATGGCCCCATGTTCTTTTCTGTTGAGTTGGTGGTCTGGATATGGCTGAGAGCTTTTGAATATGCAATGCTACACACTTGTCTGCTATTCCATTTGTTTCCAGCTGCATTAATGTTTCTATTGTGATGAGTTTTTCTCAATTTCCGGACTTCAATTGTGTTAGTGTTGTTGATCTTGACAGTGGTATAGATTTTGTATTTGTAGCGGTGGTGTTGTTGTTGTTGGGGTGAGTGCAGCCCCTGTATGGGTTCGAGTCCAAGGAGTTCACTCCGTTCCGCTTCGCCAGTGGAGGTGGCCGAGAAGTCTACTTTGCTCCGGAACAGGAGCTGTGTCTGAGCGAGCTCATCAGTACGCCGCTACCTCGCGTGCCCCTGCAAGTCTCCATCAGAGGTGCGTGTGAGGGTGTGAGTGCATGCATGTGTGAGCGTTTGTATGTAAGTGTGTTTGCAGTTGAGTGTTTGCATGTTTGTGCGCGTATGAATGCATGTGTGAGTGTGGTGCGTGTATGTGTGAGGGTGTGAGTGCGTACATATGAGTGTTAGGGTGTGAGTCTTTGAATGTGTGAGTGCGTGTGTGTGTCATGGTGTGAGAGTGTGTGAGTGTTTGCATGTGTGAGTGTGTGCACGTGTGTTAGGGTGTGAGAGTGGGTGACGGTGTGACTGTGTGTAACTTGCAACACCACATCTATCACCATCCTGAAAGAAAGAATGGTAATCCGATCTCTGATCTCCAAGAAGAGGTTTGCTGGTTTGCTGAGCATTTTTGTGAGGTCTTCAGGGAGGGGAAACCCCTCAGCTCAAACATCATCATAGGGCAAGATGGGGTTAACCCTGCTGGCGCTGCTGTGCCTCAAATATTGAAGGAAGTGTGTGTGCGTATGAGTGTTTGCATGTGTGTGGATGAGTGTTTGTGTGTGAGTGCGTGCATATCAGTGTGAGGGTGTGAGTCTTTGCATGCGTAAGTGTGTGTGTGTGTGCATGTGTCAGGGTGTGAGAGTTAGAAACATTCAGACTGGCCTGCCTACGATCCATCCTGGGTTTAACCAAGCTGGATTGTGTGAGGAGCTCACAAATCCTCAATATCTGGATACAGTTCCATCGGTGAGCTCCTCCAGCAGGCAACGCTGCATTGACTGGGTCTTGTAGCCCGCATGCCCAGTCATCGCATGCCCAAACAGCTTTTGTTCGGGCGGATAGAGGGGGCAAAATGGGCGTGACACGGGCTAGAGAAAAGATGGAATGATGTGGTACAAGAAGATGTGGAGCTGAGTGGACTTGCCATTAACTGGTACCAGCGGTGTCAAGATTGGCCTCTGGAGGAGGCTCATGAAGGACGCTACTTGGCAGTTGGAGGCAGTCACCCTCCAGCAACAACGGAGGGCAGAGGAGCGACGCTCACAACGAGTGGAGCGCCCGGTAGCTAAAACACAGCAGGTTCGCACAGTAGGGGGCACAGGTGGTGCATCGCACAGTCACCTCAGTCAGTCAAGCCATGGCACCTGGGTCTATCCCATGACCTCACACAAGCGGGCATTCGACACTTCACATGGTCTTAAAGTGCACATGGCCTGGCACAAGCGCTGTGGTGATGTCACCGCCACTTAGTGGTGAATGGCGGTTGTGTATGTGTAAGGTGTGAGTGTGTATGTGTCTTTATGTGTGATTGCGTGTGTGTTTGAATGTATGAGTGCGTGTGTATGTTCAGGCGTGAGCATGTGTGAAGGTGTGAGAGTGCGCGTGTATTTGTGTGTATTTCTAGGGGAGTGGGAGTGTAGTAATTTGCGCCCCGCCCTACGAGATCCGTTCGAGTTCAGGGGTGAGATTAATTGTTGCATTGCGTGGCAATATCTGGACGGCATAGGGATGCCTTCATCTCGTAGTCCACAGACCATGGCTATGTGCAGAACAAATACAGCTTCCTGAAAAGTGTATTCACATAAGTCTGGGTGATATGTATGTATGTATGTTGAACTTCTTTCGCACCATACATAGCCAACCATGCTAATCAGAGGTGCGGGGAAAGGACAACAAACTAGACATAGTATAGTATCGGGTTGCATCGTATGTGTGTAGATATACCTTCAGAACGCGTGTGCTGTGAATGCACAGGTGAAGTAGCTTGTGTGTGAAGTGCACAGGCAACGTGTTCCGGCCTTGAGGACACGTGTCGCCCTGTGTTCTGTGCTGCGCTCAGCTCACTGGCTGTGCATCGATGGCGTGCAGCCGGCGATTCCAGAAAATCCTCCGCCCGGTTCGTTCAATACAAATACAAAGACAAAGATCCCCTGTGTAGCCTACACAGGCTGGCGGGGCAAGTGCTGTTAGCTTGCACCTGTGAAGGCCAACCCGGTGCATGCACACTAGCACATGGGGAAGCCGGCCAGGTAGTGGTGCGATAGTGGCACTCTTGCCTCATATCAAGAAGCCCCTGTGTTAGATTCCCAACTCGGGCGCCTTTACATGTGGGCATTTGTATGTTCTCCCCCTGTTCTGCATGGGTTTCTTCCGATAGCTTAAATACACACAATGTTACTGGTATTTGCGAAACATCCTAATGCAAGAAAGTACCTGCAAATTACTAATTTGGGATTACACACGGCAAAAACATTGTCCCCTACAGCAAAAACTTGCCAGGGGCCTCCTGAAAAGTGGTCTTGAGACTCAGTGAAGTTATCCTGGGTAAACAAGTCGTAATAATGCACACGCACAGAGAAACATGCACATACAGCACACACACAACACAGTTTAAACATCAGCACTGGGGAGACGTTGACAGCTTACGTGTGCTGCTGATGAACATTTGTTTTATATCAGCGTGTGTGGGAAAGTGTCCTTCCTCGTGTGTGGATTAAAAAGGTCAGTTGAAGGGATCGGAGAAGAGAATATTTGATACCCGGTGATTGCGGGCTGTTCTCTTGCAAACCTTCCGGATGGATCCTTCGTTTCATGCCGTGACCCTCAAAGCACAATTGGAAAAAAAAATTGAAGAAGACCAAACATAAAACCCTCGTCACCTCTGCCTTGGCCATTCCTTCTCGACAAAGTGTATTCTATGACACTTCGCCACGTCCTCTGTACGTGTACTTCACTGCCCCACGGCCCCTACCACCGCGAGAACTAGTAAAATGTCTCCTCCCTTTGAAGTCCCCTCGACGTGGGCGCATTCCCCGCTAGATGTGGTCACATTTACTGCACTATATTACAATAAGTCACACTCTGCTGATGAGGCTCAAAGAAGTTGAAACCAGCCTGTTTTATTTGTTGCTTGAACAGAAAGAGCATGGACCTAAACATTGTTTTACAGTATTCCTAGTGGACGATATATACCCTTGTCTGTACACTTGTTAGATTGATGAGTTTGTTTTGTCACCGCCGCCACCATCATTGTGTTTGATTCCACGTGGCAGTGCCAAGGGAGCAGCAGAAGCTGGAGGCAGTGGGGGTGGACGCGAGGGGACCCGTGGGGCCGTCCGGGAGCGTGGACCCTCGCAGAGCAGGTGACGAACCTCACGACGGCAGGGGCAGCCACAGAGAACAACAACTTTAATTTAGAAGATGCTAGAAATCGCCCAAACAGACGTATCGCAGAGTGGGCACGTGACCTACAGGATACCGACTCCGCTGGAGTTAGTGGAGCTGTGCCTGGCGACAGTTGGCGCCGTGTGCGTAGCGGTTCTGAAAATGTTCGCAGTTTTTCAAACTTCCCGCCATTGATTTCCCATAGTTAATTGTTGATAGTTGTTATAACGGCTATAGGTGGAGAATCTGAGGTGGTCGATCGATCCTGTCACCATTTATGTAATTTCTCCGATATGATTCTAAAAAAATATGTTGATATGAGGGACCTGGGCGAGAGCGGATCTCCTTGCCTAATTTGTAGTTTGTTACATCATGCATTTTCCTCGTATTTGTTCCACATTTATTAAGGGCTATTGATTATTTTTGTTAAGGCCTTAGTTTATGGGTACTTGAATGACGTCATCAGTTTCCCACGATTTAAATGCCCTTTCATCATCCACAAAAGCCACGCTTCATGGTATTTGATATTCACTTGACTTTTATTGAATCTGATGACGAATATGTTTGTGATAAATGGTAGAAAAATCTATTAAAAAAACGGCTTGTTCTTGTGATGCCCATGAACAGTTTCTTTATGTTTGATAACTGAATGGGCCTATATTCAAAGCATCTTACATAGGTATGCCAATATCGATCTAACATGCAGTCCTGTTTCTGGGATGATATTAAGTTATTCCATCTGTTCCGGGAACTTTCCCTTGCTCTCCAGAAATTCCTAGACGCGTTCCTGAAAAGTGCCGCGTTTTTATAAAAAAAACACGTTAAACCAAAACTAATTCCCAATAAATGATGCAACGATAAAGTGTGGCCAGATACAATGTACGCATAAACAGTGAGATAGCGGGACAAATAAGTGAGGGTACACCGTCCTGTTACTGTACCATTCCTAGTACTGTATCACTGTCATGCTCAGATGCGCAGCTCAAGAAAGTAGTTTGTCATCGACTGCTCAGAAACCACGTTATAATGGTCCGTGTTCTGTTTTATAATGGTGCACACTCCGCGTTAAACAGTAATGATGCATGTTCTGCATTATAATGGGCTTGTTCTGCATTTTAACGGTGCACGTGCGAAAAGTGTTCCCGAATTGAAGTACCGCATTATAGCGAAAATGCGTTGTGTGAACACCACGCGTTAAGTGCGGACCCTACCGTACTATGAAGGGCAGTGGTTACCCCTTCAGGTTTGACATCTCGAACATCTTCCGTATCTTGGACATCATTTGTTCCAGGAGTCAATTATTTAGTTTGTGATAAATCATTACATAGCATTTATCCTTTGTACGATTATATATTTCACGTGTTATGGTTCCATCGTGCTCTAAGGTCTACCGTTTGTATTTGCAATTCACCAATTGCTGTTTTCATGCGTGTATGTGTTTATACGCACGTGTGTGTGGGTGGGGAGAAAAAGTGTAGCAGTTGACGCACTGCACTACAAACCCGGTGGCCCGAGTTCGATTCCCGCTCACGGCCAACATCAGTGACAAATATCTGAACCGGACCTGGGCCTTTCCTAGGGCGGCTCAGTCTTAAATCAGTTCCTGGTGAGATGTGTAAACATCAGCACTTTAACATGTAGGCTTTCGTGACCAATATTACCCATAATACAGGTTTTTTGGTTAGATCGCGTAAATATAAATGTGCGTTAAAACCGCTACTACCCCACCACAGCCGATAAATAAGGTTTGTCACGTAAACAGAACATGCCAATTCGTTACTAGTACAGCACGCCAGTGTGTTGGAGAGTAAATCCACAACATTTACAATCCGAGTGACTAGCAACATCGAGCGACAGCCAGAAAAAAACTGTTATGGTTAACAGCATTGGGAATACAAAGGTGGCCGGGTATGATATTGGCCACCTCACTCCCTCGTGTGTTGTGCCGGCCGTAATAGGCACTACTCGCAAACAGTACTTGCCCCAAGAATCTGTTAAAGGCTACACGGGGGACCTTTATGTGTGTGCGTGCGTGAGCAGGGCGGCCGTCTCAGAGTGCGTACGTGCGAGTGCATCGGCGGCACCCGCACGAGCTGTCCATGGAGCTGCAGAGGTTCTACTGTGAAGTGACGGAGGCCACCATGGGCTCCTCGGAGCCCAAGAGAATTGTGAGTGCTGCCAGTCTCGCTTGCCTGGCTTCCACCACTCCCACACCCAGCAGCACCCAGCTGTGAACACCCAGCACCAACGTGGAACACTCAGTACCAACGCAGAAGCCCCATAACTAGTGCAAAGCCACCAGCACGCAGCCGTGAACACCCAGCACTAACGCAGAACACCTAGCACGATATCAAATACCTAGCGAGTTATAAGAGAGTATGTGTGGTTGTAAGAAATTGTGTGTGTGTGTGATGGTTACTGTCTCTGTGCCATTAGGAGGCCCTGCAGAGCATTGCCATGGAGCCGGGCTTCTATCAACTGATGCCTCAGCTCAGCACCTTCATATCAGAGGGGGTGGGTGTCTGCCTCAGGCCATTACCTGAAACATTGCCCTTTAAATCTATTTTTGTTCTTTTTCGGCAATGTTATTGATGTTATTGATGCCTGTTGAGTTGGATGTATATGTTTGGATATATGTGTGTAGGTCGCGTGTGTGTGTGTCTCTATTTCACTCTGTATTTGTCGTTGCCCATGCGTTACCTGCAAATGACTCAATTGGGATTGCACGTAGAGCAGCAACAGCGCCTCCCACTGCGAAAACTTGGCAGGACCCTTTTGAAAAAAAAGTATTTAAACTGCGTGAGGCTTTCCTGGTTAAGCAAGCGGACTAATAATGATCACAATCAGGAATAAGACAGCTGTGTAGCACATCCCTATGCCCACCCGCCTTCACCTCACCCAATATAGCTTGATTCCACTGTCTCTGACCCATGCGTCTCTCCTTTCCACCTTGGTCTGCGCTCGTTATGCTGCTGCTACTATTTCTGCTGCTGCTGTAGTAGAAGTAACCTCCACTGCCTTAGTCACCGCTGCTGCTTCAAGCTGTGTTTGCACAGGATCGCTGAACACACGTAACACACAAAAGCGCCTAGGGTCTCTGCCGTTACGCTAGAAGAGTACACGAGCAGGAGTAACGTGCCGCTGCTTGTGCTGCTGCTGCTGCTGTCCCAGGTGCGGATTAACATTGTCCACAACAACCTGGCTCTACTCATCTACCTGATGCGCATGGTGAAAGCACTGCTGGAGAATCCGAACATCTACCTTGAGAAATACGTACGCGCATGCACTCCCGCAACAAAAGACAAAGATTCCCCTTATAGCCTTTGCAGACTTTTGGGGCAAGCGATCTTAGTGAGCCTCACCTATGAAGGCCGGCACGGCATACGAGGGCGTGGGGTGGCCAGCACCACGCCAGACGAACTTTGTCTCCCTAGTGGCGATGTTTACACACCGTACCAGATTTCGTATGATCAATGAAGAGCAACTTATTGAGAATCTGTTTGAAGTGATTTAGCCATTCAGTTTGCTTTGTTTTGAGGGTTGGTGAATTGCAGATACAAACAGGGACACAGATCCCTCGTATAGCCTTAACAGACTGTTGGGGCAAGTGCTGTTCGCAAGAACCTATGTAGATACACCCATTCACACACTGACCACCTTCAAATGGATATTTGGGGCAGTGCGAGATTCTATGACCGACTTGGTTTGATGTTCGTAGGCCACAGTCGCACACAGGAGAACATGTTGACTTCCACTTGTGCCTCAGGTGTCCGCAAATTCCTTGCGAGATGGAAACAGGGCAGTGTGATGGTAGGGTTACTGATGAGCTCCGTGTTGTGATGCCGGGCAGTGTTGTAATGAGCTGTGTGTTGTAAGTCGAGCAGTGTTGTGGTGGGCTCGCTGATGAGCTGTGTGTTGTTGAAGCCAGGCAGTGTGGTGGTGGGCTCGCTGATGAGTTGTGTGTTGTGAAAGCCGGACAATGTGGTGGTGGGTTCGCTGATGAATTGTGTGTTGTGGAAGCCAGGCAGTCTGATAGTGGCCCGAATGATGAGCTGTGTGTTGTGGAAGCTGGCAGTGTGGTGGTGGTTCGCTGATGAGCTTTTTGTTGAACACGTTACTTGAATCTCACAAATTGGTCCGTACCTTGAAACACAGAGTCTCTGTATCAAGGCTGCTGCTACTGTGTCTGCGTGCACTGCTGCAACAGCTACACGAGCTGATGCCCGCCATACTGTCATGCGTCGTGAGCCGCCAGCTGTGCCAGCGGCCAGACGTCGACAACCACTGGGCGCTGCGGGACTTTGCGTCGCGCATTGCGGCCCAGGCGTGCAGGATGTACACGTCACCTGCCAACGCCCTGTTGGGCCGTACCTCCAAGGCCATGCTCAAGGTGTGCGATGCGCGTCTCACCGCGTGTGCGACACATGTCTCAGCATGTCTCATGCGTGTCTCAAGGCACGAGTACACATGACTCTCACACCTACACAACCCAAACGTCCGTATTCCTAGTGATGGCTCAAGCTGGGCGCTGGCTCCGATGAGGCATGGTTCACTCAAAGCCATGCGCTTAACTTTATTCGGCTCTTGAGTATGGGTCCCAGCCACGCTCAGGATTCCCATGAGGCTGAGCCTGAGCCAGGCCATGGCTGAGCCGCTCCATCGTGTCTTCGGGAACCAACGGAGCGGCTAAAGCCTGAGCTGAGCCTGAGCATTAAAAGCTGAGCCAGAGCCGTGACTAAGAATATGTCCCAAAGACTTCTCTCTTGCTCGATCCATACTAATGCTCATAGCCAAGTCCAAAATTCTCACGGCTACAGCCCTGCATTATTAACTGCTACCTCATGATACCATCTCAAGGGGTGCCTGATCTAATGTTTTCACATTCCCAAAACTTTACAACTCCTCTGTCAAAGCACTATCGGGATAAACAACAGCATCCAGTCAATACATAACAATTCCCACACCACTGCCCCGCCATGATCACGAGTTGCCACTATTTAATCTTTACTGCCTGCTGTCTCTCTCAGAAATCCCATTGTCACCGTCTCACTCCATCTAGCCTGTACCGTCTTGCACGTTACGGTTATGAACCCCTCTCCCCCCCCCCCTATGCCAGAGCCTGAGTGACTCCGCCGCGGTATGGACCACACACTACGGCTGCCTCGCCGTGCTGTGCGAGCTGGGACCAGAGGTGTGGGTCGCACCACCACCATGCTGCCCTTTTCACGACGCTTATCGTCGTCGGCCTCATGGTAATCATTGAGTATACTTGGGTTTTGGCGTTGTTCTTATACTCATAGAGAAATGTATTTTACCAGGTAAAGGCCACTGAGCTATTAGCCCTTTTCTAGAAGCCGCCTGGTCACACATGATAGCTCAACGAAGTGGCTTATCACGTGTGGGAATTTATAGTAGCAGCCAAATACTCTAAACGCACGGGGAGAGAGAGTGAAATGTTCCTTGGTTCTTTCGGCAAAGTCACGTAGAAAGAAAATAAATTAAATAATAGAATACGACGTTTCGATTGCAACACAAGCAATCGTCATCAGGTAGAAAACAAACCTAGTGAACTTAGAAATACAATGCAATCCAATACAGAGAGTCGGCCAACACAACAGTCAGCACCTTACCTGGTGGTTATGTTCTTCCAAATGTAATAAACGACTTCCACGACGATATTGACTGGCATCTTTTATTGATAGAATTCATTCACAGCTCAATCCCGCTCTCCCCGTATGTTTCCCTTCCTTCTCTATGGCCGGGGACGAGCCGTTCTCTCTGTTCGCCTCTCTCCCACTCCCCGATCCCGCTGCTGGCTGGCGGCGTGCCGGAAGGAGAGACGAGCCTCGCTGGGTTTCCGCCACGTGGTCGACGGCGAGGAGAGGCTTGTGCAGCGACGCGGTCAGGACTCGAGGCTTCACACGCTGACCCCTGAGTCCTCTGCTGCCCCTGCTTATATCCCTCTCGGCGGAGCTAAGCTCCGCCTCCCGCCACGCCCCCTCGTGGAACCTTCCCGATGGTTCCCGCACGTTTCCCTTTGACTCCGCCCATTACCTTTGGCCCAGATATATCCCCGCTTGGGATTGGATACCCGCTACCCGGTGGTGGCCATGCGGTTACCCCTTTCCTTTCACTAGATGGCGCTCTCTCATTACATCACCCCCCCCCCCCCCCCCCCCCCCCCCCCCCCATAATGAAAAGACTAGCCGTTCCGGCTAGGACCAATACAGTTATGAGTAATGGAGAGACGCGGTAAGAACCCAGAGGTAAATAATATAAGGCCATACCCAACAGGGACAAGGCGATAAAATTAAGAATGAACTATGAGAGTAAAAGAAGTAAGACGAAACCCATAACGCAGGTAGAGTAATAACATGCAGCAACGTCAACAAAACCGAGACGTTTTGGAACGAGTCCGCGACGCCGGACCATCCGCGGTAGCCGCAGTCTGGTCTGCGTTGGCCAGCACGTCGGGAGGCAGCTCCGGCGATTGAGGAGTAGACAGGTCCGTCGCAGTAGGACTGGTCCGGGTGGGGTTACCGCCTGCAAAGGTGGTCAAGGGTCCGGATGCTATGGGCGGCATAACAGAATCCCTCGGGGGATCACCCTGGAACCGCACCGGCCCCAGTTCGTCGGACACGTCAGACCCCTGCAGACCAATTACTGGAGATGAAGAAACGACACGCGGGGAATTGAACGGTTTTAACCGAGATGGGTGGACGAACCACCGACGACGACCCGCCCGAATGCGTACACATTGCGGACGTCTAATCTCAACCACCTCAACAGGACCGTGCCACGTCTTATGTAATTTGGGAGAGGTGCCAACGGGCACCTGAGGGCAATGTAGCCAAGCCCTGTCGCCAACGGACCACGGCATATCACGGCCGGACCTGCGTGCACAGCGCTCAATGCATGCCTGTATCTTTTCGGTATTAATTATAGCCGCCTCCCGAGCCTCCGAAATCCGGCGCAGGGAGTCCCGAACATGGACCGGCAGGGTGGATTTCGTGCCACCAACAGGCGCCCCCAAATTGAGCATCTATAGGCGGCACATTTTTCCTCCCATACATAAGAAAAAACGGCGAAAATCCCGTGGAAGCATGCGAGGCCATCCTGTACACTTGGAACATGCATCCTGTACACTTGGAACATGCATCCTGTACACTTGGAACATGCAAATCGGCCTGTTTAGCATCCACAGCCTGACAAAGCATGGCGGTCAAGGTCCGATTTAACCGTTCGACCATACCATCGGTCTGAGGGTGGTACGGTGATGTCCTGATTCTCTTAGTGCCCAGTGCGTCGCAAACGTCGTGTAACAATTTAGAAGAAAAATTACGACCTTGGTCCGTCAGCAGTTGTTCCGGAGCACCTTTGTTCATAACATAACCGTTTAAGAATGCATCAGCGATAGCGGTCGGCAATTGGTCAGGCAATGGGCAAGCCATCGGCCACCGAGAGAAATATTCCTCTCCCACCAAAAGATATGTTTCCCCAAGGAGTGATCGGAAAGGGGCCCAGTACATCGAGCGCCACTAACTCGTTGATACGCGATACTGAAATAGATTGCAGCGTCGGATGACACTTCTGCTGCGGTGGCTTCCTCTGAGCACATTCAGGGCATGAACGGATACATTTAGAAACATGGGCAGTTATGCCAGGCCAATAGTAATCTCGTCGCAACGTCAGCAAGGATTTTCGAACACCAAGGTGCAACAATTTTTCCCCGTGGCATGCGAATCAAGCCGCCACGTAGAGCAACGGGAACAACAAGCCGCCAGTGATCCAGCATATCGTCCCTCCACATCAAAAGGCCGTCATGAAAAACCAAGCGGGCACCCTCATCCAACGCAGCAGACTTATGTGTGTTCTGCTAGACACCGTGAAGTCGGTAAGGAGTCGTCCAGCAGCTGCTTGCGCACCCACACAGAGCGCAGAAGTCGCTATACATTGTCAGCCGGAGCATCTGCAGCGTTCGCAGTTGGATTGGCCACTGCGGACGTGACAGGTCGCGGTAATGAGGCAACAGGCGCACAACGACTCGTTCCGGAGGAACACGCGTAGCGATGCGCGTGCGGCAGTCGCGACAGGGCATCCGCGTTACAATGCCGGGAACCCTTACGATAAACCACATCGAACGAAAACTCCTGCAATATCTCGAGCCAACGAGACAGCTGGCCGGCTGGCTGCTCGACTTTCAGGCAGTACTGGAGGGGCCGCATGATCAGTGCGGACAATTAATTTCCTGCCGTAGAGGTAGGGTCTGTATTGCCATACAAAATAAACAATCGCCAAAAGTTCCCGTCGAGTGACGCAATAGCAACTTTCCGCAGGGGAGAGGATACGGCTGCCATAAGCGCCCACCTTTTCATATGGGGTTAGACAGCACCGATGCCCGTATCGCTAGCATCGATGTCAAGGGTAAACGGCAAGGAAAAATCTGGATATTCAAGCGTGGGCGCATCCGACAATCGTTCACGAAGAGCCACGAACGCAGCTTCCTCCGCCGGACCCCATCTGAACCTCTGATTTTTAGCAGTCAACGCGTGCAAGGGTTTAGCAACTGTAATATGAAGCAAATCCGACAAAACTGCGCACATCACCCACGCACGTGGGGGTTGGCCAATCACGAACACATGCAGTTTTCGCCGGGTCCGTGGCAATGCCGTCGGAACTGACAACATGGCCCAAATAACGCACCGAATTTTGCAACAAGTAACATTTTTTCAGCTTGAATTTCAAGTTAGCAGAGCGCATTCTATCAAAAACAGAGCGCAGGCGGTGGAGGTGCTCATCAAAAGTGCGACTAAAAACAATAACATCATCTAAATAAATGAGGCAAGTGTCCCACTGCAACCCGGCCAAGACGAGCTCCATTAAGCGTTGAAAGGTAGCTGGAGCCGTATTCAAGTCCATCGGAAGGCAATTAAACTGAAAAAGTCCCTGAGGCGCATGGAAAGCGGTTTTCTGTTTCGATGAGTCATCCAAAGGCAATTGGCAAAACCCGGAGGACAAATCGAGAGTCGAGAAATACCGCGCCCCAGACAAAGCATCAAGGGAGTCATCCATGTGTAGTGGGTTCCCAGGACACGGAGACGGCAGAGTAGAGGCAGCACTTTATTGAACAAGGGGTCACACTGGAAGGGGTAGCGGCCCCTTCACCCGTATATACTCAGGAATAACCCCAGGCTATCTAGCCTTAGCCCTAGGCTCCCGATTCCTCCGACTATAGGCCCTAGGGGAGGCTATCCGATCTGGCCCTGGTCAGACACAGATCTCGGCACCCCACCCACCAGACTTGCCCTTAAAAGGACTCCGGCTCTGGGGCTCTGGGGTCACACCACTGGCTTGCCGTGCCGGCCCTGAAAAGGACAGCGGTCACAGGAGTCCCAGGGTCTATCCTAGCCGGCCTTCCTTCTTCACTGGCTCTTCAGTCTTGGCCCCAACACACTGCCCCGAACTCTCTGGCTCCTCGCCCTTTATACCCACTGAGGGTGGAGCCATAGCGGACGTGGTTGTAGCCACCAAGGTGTGGGTGTGCCTCACCTTCCCACAACGTGTGTTTCTTCCCCATAGCATCCCTACACATGCGCAGGAGCGGATACGCATCGGCCATCGAAACTTTGTTCAACTTGCGGAAATCAACGCAGAATCTGAGGTTACCATCCTTCTTCTTAACGAGGACGACAGGCGCGCCCCATGGGCTATTCGATGGCGAAATAATGTCTGCGGCCAGCATGTCATTGACAGCGCGCTGCACGCGTTCTTTCTCCACTGGACTCAATCGATGCGAATTTTGACAGATGGGGCTGGCGTCACCCGTATCAATATGGTGCGACAAAAGGGATGTGCTTCCCAAATCGAAATCGTTTTTACTAAAGACATCTGAGAATTCGGACAAGTGAACGCAACTTGTTCCATTGCTCGGAGGACAAGGAACAACAACCGCACTTCAGGCCCCCCATTAAAAACCTGCAAGAACGGGGCCTGCTCAGCAAGCATCAACTCCCGTGTCGCAGTATTAGATGGGGTCAGAAGGACCCCAGCCGCCGCACTGTCGCATCGGATTCCCTTACGATAACGCAACGGCACTAGCATTTGGGAACCCGGCGGAATCTCGACTGTGACATCAGCTAGCGCCTGTACGGCGGCGCACGACGGCGAACGCAAGAGCGGCGATGGTAGGAAAAACAACTTGCGACCCGACGGCATTTCCAAGCAGCCCTGGTCCACCAAGATCTTAACAGGCATTCTCCGAAGGAAATCAGTGCCTAACAAACAGGGCATGGCCAGCGACCTGGAGATCAAAACCGGCCCCGACGCAGCAACATCACCGATCGCAATGTGGGCGTCCACCTGGCCGATGCTGCCCATGCTGCCCATGCTGCCGCCGTTCGCGGCGACACAAGCGTCAAAGGCCGGACGGACTTGCGAAACGGGGATCGACAATAATTGAAAGATAACATAAGAAATTATAGTAGCAGAAGCCCCCTTGTCCACTAAACCGCGAACATCCACCCCCTGAATCGAACCAGGCACAGCCGAGGATCCCGCAGCCACCACGACCACGCGACACGCTAGTTTTTTCCATTGTGTTACCGAAACGGGCCATCCTTTAGCAACTGAACCCGAATACCCAGCGTCAACACACAACCCACGATGTGAATGAATGTGCCCTGTGTCATGAGATGCGTGAGGTGGTGAATATGGCTGGGTGTCCGACGCATACCGACTTGCCTGTGTGGGAGGATGTTGAGCCGTCGGAGATTCCGCAGGAGCCGGAGCAACAGCCGAAGTCGGTGAACGAGGGCAACCCCGGCAATCCCTCGCATAGCAGCGCAACTGGCCACACCTGAAGCAGGCTATGGGTGGTCGTTGAGCTCCCCAGTCATCACCCCGACGTGGCCTGTTGAACCCTCGGCGACGTGCAGCGTCGCCCCGTCTTCGATCCCAAGGAGGAACCGCCGCCGCGAGATCACCCTCAGAAGCCGCGACTTCAGGCGGCATGTGTACAACTCCAGTTGGTGAACACCCCTGTCTCGGCTAGGATCGCCCGTCCACGCAGCCATCTGCGACCACCGCTGCAGGTTCTCGTGCGCGTGAAGGGATCTGGCGGCCCATCGAGACGACTGCACATCATGAGCGCACGCCGGTAGAACCACCCCCATGTCCCTTGCCAGAGCCAACATCGGTTCCATGACCAACGAGTCAAGGGCCTCTTGTTTAACATCAGGGTAGGCAGCCAATGCCATCAGAGCACTACGGTAGGCGAGAAGAGACTTGCAGCTTCCCCGCCTCCGTTGAGTATCGGTAGGTGGTTCGTAGACTTCTGCCATCTTAGTGTACGCATCTTGTAACGTTTTTTTCTTGTCAGGAGGAATCAACATGAACCCTGCCAGAGCGTCGTCATCCAAGACGGTCGGCAGAGCGACCAACGCCTCCTCCTCCGACCAATATACTGACTGAAATGCCGCCTCGAACCGCCAAGTATAAAGGCGCTCCAATCGCCGCCAGCAGCGACGAATTCTTTAACGTGCGGAAGCCGGCGGGTGCGCTCGGCACCGTTACGTCCAACTGCAGCAGCGGCCCCCACAGGTTGCGCACCACACGGCTCTTCGACCGCGCCCTTGCCGCGCCGCCTAAGATGGTGGCGTCCTGCTGTCCTCCACACAACTAGCCTCAACTGGTAGTGTGGAAGTCCACCCCGAAGCGGCCGGGGGAGAGAGGGAGCGAATGGACCTGTGAGAGCCTGGTGAATTTTGGAGAGAGAAATAGGCAGTTTGAGAAAACGGACTTAGCAGATTTTTGGAAGTGTGGTGCAATGCAACGCGGAGAGTCGGCTAGCACACAGTTGGCGCATGGCCTGGTTGATTGCGTTTTCCAAAGATTGTGTCTGTGTTTCGTCTCTCTCTCAAATTTAGCAATCTTTGGAAGAACGTAACCACCAGATAAGGTACTGACTGTTGTGTTGGCCGACTCTCTGTTGGATTGCATTGTATTTTTAAGTTCACTAGGTTTGTTTTCTACCTGATGACGAATGCTTGTGTTGCAATCGAAATGTTACCTTCACAAAAGCTTCAAATCAAGTTAGAGTGAAATGTGTTGATAGTCTTTGCTCGGTCACCAATGACTGCACAAAAACGATCATGTTTACTGGGGTTTTCAACTAATTTGATCCGTCCCCAGGCTGGTGACTAAACCTGTGGTCATCAATGCAGAGCATAAAAACAGGCATCATCAGGGGTTGGGATTGAACCCACGTCCTCCTGAGTACCAGGCGAGGGAGATAACATCTCGCCACTGCGGCACCCCAGTCGTCACCGTCATCAGCCCCATCGTCATCGTAATCAACAGTAGTCATTGAGTACACTTGGGTCTTCGCACCATTCGCATAGCACGGGACTATCACAAAGAAAGATGCTGCTGTGTTTCACAGACACAGTCTGCTCTATTTGGCCGCAGCAGGAAATGTTGCTCTGTGTGTAATCCCGATTGAGTGTGGCGGTAGGCTTTCGGCGCAGTAGTAACATCCGTGCCTCACAGCAAGAAGGGCCTGGGTTCGATTCCTGACTCGTGCTCCTTTGTGTGTGGAGTTTGTATTTTGTACCCCCTGTTCTGAATGCGCTTCATCTGGGTTCTCCGGGTTCCTCCCATAGCAACAACACCAAAAACCCTCGCATTGTTACTGAAAATGACTCTATTGGGATTACACACAGGAGCAACCTCACCCCCGCTTACCGCAGAGACTTGGCAGCACCCTCCTGAAAAAGTGTCTGGAGACTGAGGCTTTCCTGGGTAAACAAAGGCAATAATAATGATACAACAAGAACAATAATAATAATGAAGCCTCGAGCTATGCGGCCCCCCTCTCTGCCATGTGCTGTAACTGGGGCAGTCACCACTGTGGTCCCCAGGTGATCTCCTCGCTGGTGCTGCCCCGCCTCAAGCAAGAGGGAGAGAGAATCCGGTCGATCCTGAGCGGGCAGGCCATCAGCAGTGGCGATCTCTTTGGCGCCCAGCGCGTGGAGAGCATCATCCTGGTGAGGTTGGTGGCGGTTGTGTGTCCTGAATGTTTCCATAACCCGGAGGAAGCCCGTGCAGAACAGAGGGAGACTTTTCATCCTTCGCAGAGAGAGGCGCCCAAGTAGGGCATTGAACCCAGGGCCTTCTTGCTCCAGTAGCTTGGGTCAGGGTAAGTGTCAGCCTAAGGGTGAGGGGCTCGGGTTACGGTCAGTGTTCGTAGGTGATGGCCCTGGCGAGTGTTAGGTTCAACATCACGGTATGGGTCAAAAGAGTATTCCAACCTGCACTGGTTATAATCTGTTACGATGGGTTATTCTTGTCACTCACAGAATCGATCAATGTCTCGTTCTGTCTCACCCTGTCCCGTTCTACCTCACCCTGTCTCGTTCTGCCTCACCCTGTGTCGTTCTGGCTCACCCTGTCTCATTCTGGCTCACCCTGTCTCGTTCTACCCTGTGTCGCGTGTGCAATGTGAGGTTGCACTAGCAAACCTCCACCTCATTAAGGGGAGAATCCGGTGCAGACGTGGTCGGCCCGGGGTTGCACGCTGACACCGGAGGTGTTGTCAGGGAGACGTGCGATAAGGGGTGATTGATGGCCTGACAAGCGCCAGCCTGTCTGGCCCTAAAGAGACACAAGGGAGGAGCTGGATAATTGGGAGGAGGATATAAGGAGGCGCATGAGAGCGGAGCGGGAGTTCGGGTTGCTGGGACCAAGGTGAAGACATCTCGCCGCTGCCGCTTAAGCCAGGGACGGACCTCAACCCTCACGAGTCGCCGGGCAGTTGATGGTTGATCCCCCCGCCCGGATCGGACGAGTGAATGGGTCTGAGGGAACGTAGGCGAGGGCAGCGGCGCAGAGTGAGTGAAGCTGTGTGCAAGCCTCTGCTGCTGTGTGCAAGCCTCTGTGTGAGTGAAGCTGTGTGCAAGCCTCTGTGTGAGTGAAGCTGTGTGCAAGCCTCTGTGTGAGTGAAGCTGTGTGCAAGCCTCTGTGTGAGTGAAGCTGTGTGCAAGCCTCTGTGTGAGTGAAGCTGTGTGCAAGCCTCTGTGTGAGTGAAGCTGTGTGCAAGCCTCTGCTGCTGTGTGCAAGCCTCTGCTGCTGTGTGCAAGCCTCTGCTGCTGTGTGCAAGCCTCTGCTGCTGTGTGCAAGCCTCTGCTGCTGTGTGCAAGCCTCTGTGTGAGTGAAGCTGTGTGCAAGCCTCTGTGTGAGTGAAGCTGTGTGCAAGCCTCTGCTGCTGTGTGCAAGCCTCTGCTGCTGTGTGCAAGCTCTGTGTGAGCGCTGCTGTGTGCGAGCTCTGTGTGAGCGCTGCTTAGTGCGGAGCCTCAAGTGCGGAGCTACCGCAAGCGGGAGCTGCCGTGTTGCGGAGCCTCGAGTGGGGAGCTGCTGAGAGCGAGAGCTGCTGTCTGTGTGCGGAGCTGTGAGTGCGGAGCTGCTGAGAGGAAGAGCTGCCACAGGCAGGTTAGCGAGGTGTAAAGTAGATAGGGAAAGTTAGTTAACAAAAGTTGCCGTGTAGACAGAGACAGGAGTGCCTACAAATGGTGCAAGAATAGAGTAGCAAAGTGTAAGCAGGTGACCTGTAACAATTTGTCCATTGGCGCTGGCTGCCCCGCCCATGCTGTTCACGCCGCACAGCTTTGCTCACTTTAAAAGCCCTTATTAGCAGTTGCATTTGGAGGCTTGCCCCCTCTTTTTTCTTCGCCTGATGAAGACCGCTTGTGTTGTGATCGAAACGTCGTGGGTTTTTTTGCTTGTATTATTTTCATTTAATTTTTATTTAATATTTTTTATTTTATTTTCTATCTACGTGACTTTACCGAAAGAACCAATAATATGACTTGTTCGTTTTATTCTGGTTGCATTGCTGTGGTTTTATGGACCACACGGTCCATCTTGCTGCCGTCTGGTTTATTCTGACCATTATGTGCATATTTTTTGCAACGTATATTCTCCACCAATTCGATTTTTACACTTGTTTACCCAGCAAGGTCTCAGTGAGTCTCTAGATAATTTTTGCAGGAGGGTCCTGCCAAGTTTTCACAGTTCAGGGGCAATGTTGCTGCTGTGTGTGATCCCCATTGAGCGCTTGGCAGGTAATTCTTATCATTGAAGTTTTTGGCCAATACCAGTTACATTGTAAGTGTTTTTTGAGCTATGGGAGGAAACTGGAGAATCCGGAAGAAACCCATGCAGAACATGGGGAGAACATACAGACTCCACACAAAGATGCCGGAGTTTAGAATCAAACCCAGGGCCTTTTTGCTGTGAATCATAAGTGTTGCCGACGTGCCACCCTACCATCCTACATGTTTCATCACTGTCATCATCGTCATCATCGTGATTATAATCATAATAATTTATGTGAATGATGAGTTATATTCTTAGTTCTTTCGGTAAAATCACGTTGAAGGGAAACAATAAAATAATAAAATATATATATAAAACAATAAAAATTCTCACGACGTTTCGACCATAACACAAACGGTCGTGAGATTTTTTTGTTTTATATATATTTTATTATTTTATTGTTTCCCTTCAACGTGACTTTACCGAAAGAACTAAGAATATGAATTACTGCAGTCACGAAAGCTTTAAATCTAAATTTTGATGATGAGTTACTTGCCCATTAATGGTGAGGCTTGCCTTTGTCTGTCTTGTCCCTTTGCTGCCCTCTCCTCTGCTCCCCCTGCCCCCCTACCCCCGCTGTCCAACAGAAGCACTGCGCACCGGTGCTGGCGCAGCGGCGCGCGGTGCCAGACGTGGTGTCCGCGTACCGCGCCGACTACGGCTGGATGGGCCCCGCGCTGTGTGAGCACGTGCTGCGCGCTCGCTCGCTCGCCCTGCGCTGCACGCTTTCCTTGCAAGCACAGGTCAGAGGGCGCTGTCATGGGTCCGGGGGTGTCCGCTCTGCTCCCACTCCACGTCTGGTCCTCTTCTTGTCCAGTCTTCTCTCCTTCTCTCTCTTCTGTCCCTCCTTCTCCCTGTGCCCAATCCCATCTTCGCTCCTTCTCCCTCCTTGCACCCCTCCACTGGAATGAACTTCCCCTGTTTATTAAGCAGCACTGCCCATAGACTAACACTGCTCATAACACTGCCCATATACTCAATAGTGCACATAGACTCAACACTGCCCATACTCAATACTGTCTCTGTATATTAAGCTGTCTCCTTCCTTAACCTATTTATCTCTTAAAGCCTCATCACTTCTCCATTGCCCATTCTCATCCCTCGCCCCCTCCACTTCTTCCCGTCCCTCCCCTACCATTTCGTGATCCCTAAGTACCCCTCTTTGGCTATCACTCATTCCGCAATTGTTGTACGCCCCTGCCATATGCATCATTCCATTCTGTCACTACTTTGTAAGCTATATCAGAGAGTGCCTTTAGTGAAGTGAGGGGTACTTCGTGAAGGCACTCTAAATTAGAATTAGATTGGTGTCTTGTGTGTTGCCCCGGGTTGCCAACAGGCTCAACGTGAAGAGGGCTCTGTTACTGGTGCAGGAAACTTAGGAGACAGAGGGGCCTAAAACACAAAGGAAGAGACGCGCAGAGGTGCAGAGATAGAAATGGAGCGAGATGCACACAGAGTCTCTCTGAGAGGGACACAATGACAGATGTAGAAACAAAGAATGAGAGGGAGACAGACATGAGGTCCTAATGGCAAGACTATCCAAGAAAAACACTTGACTGTTGTATGTAAAAACAGACTTTCCTATTATATATAAGTCTAAGGTCCTCTGCGGCTTCTATTTTGAATTCTCCAAGTTCCTCTGCGTCTTTGTTCACACACGGTCATCATGCGCCCCTCTCCGTGTGCTGTCCGCTAGCGGAGCACGGTGGGAGCTCAGAGCGCCGTCCCAACCAGCGTCGCCGCCCAGGGCCCCGCGGCCCCCAGCGGCGTTCCACGACTGCCACCCACCCCCGCCAGATCCACGACAATGGCACCCGCGGCACCAGCGGCAGCGGCAGGGCCCCCGTCCGGCCGAGCGCTCCCCACGTCGGCGACGCCATCGGCGCCGGGTCCCCCGACGGCGAGTGCCGGCGCCGCCTCCCTCGAGGCACGGTGCTGGGCGGTGGCCAAACCGGCGATGGCCGACGGGGTCTTAAAAGAGCGGCTCCTCTCCCCGTCGCCGCCACTGCCGCCACCACCACCACCACCGACGCCAGCCAAGCAGTTCGTGGCAGTGTCCAGCAGCACGGCCGCAACGGCGGTCACCGTACCACAGGTGAGTGGCGCTTGCCCCCTCGCCCTTTCTGGCTACTTCATTTGGGTTTGAGAAACAAATTGGAGGAAGGTGCAAGCCGAAGGGCTGTGATTAGAGGTGGACGGATGGCTCGGCAGGTTCATCATGGACGTGTCAGAGCACTGAGCCAGCTACCGCTGAGGTCCTTGGTTTGAATGCAGGTTTAGCCACCCATGATTAAATTGAGGGTATTGAGTGCAGTGGACTTGGTTTGGTCAGTAATAACTGCAATTGTGCTTTTGGAATTATTTAATGAAACAGATAAACACGTCCATAAATCTTGCAGCAAACAATGCACTACGTGGTGACATCGAACAGACCCAGACATCAGGTCTGATTATCCACACAAGGTGACACCTATTTTTATGCCCTGTATTCATGACCACACGTGTTGGTCCTCGGTCTGGGACAAATCAAATTAGTCGTGCAGTCATTAGTGACCTAGCAGGGTAAAAGCAACACACTTGACTTGAGAGCACAGTTCAATCATCTGACCTCAAACCAGGATCTCAGTGGTGCTTGCTCCGTTTTCCCCAAACATCCACCGTGAGTACGGCGAGCCGCCCAGCTCCTCATGTTTTCCCCGCAGGTGCTGTCGCTGGTGTCGGTCACGTCCTCTGTGGCTTCGTGCCACACCACCACCTCCTCCACACTGGTGAAGCTGGCGTCCGGAGCGCCCGGCCCAGTCCCTCACAAGTTCATTGTCGTGTCACTACCGGCCACCGCGAGCCGCTCTCCGGGGGGCCAGAAGTCGCCGGCCCCCACACTGGCCCAGCTGCAGCAACAGGTGGCACTCGGACGCCCGCACCCCTCAGGGTTTCTGCTGCAGGCCTCTCCTGCGGGGACGCACCACATTGTGCGGCTGCCCGGCGTGCAGGGACAGGCCCTGGGCAAGGCCCTGACGCAAATCGCGTGTGGCCAGGCGCTCACGCTGAAGCCGCAGAGCTCCCTCTTGGGGCAGGCACCCGCGGTCGGAGGTCGAGCGGTGGACCCGCTCGGGTCCGCCGCTCAAGGCCGGGGTGCGGAGTTACCCGTGGAAGCAAATGTGATGTTAGCGCAGATTCAGGCACCGCCGCTTGCGACGAAGGGCCTGGTGGCTGCGACCACCATTCAAGGCCATATGGGGTGTGCGCCCGGAAAGGCTGAGGTTTCTGACCAGCAAAGGCCCTGAGGTGTAACAGTTTTGCAGATAAACCAGGCATATTAAAAGTGGAAAAACAGTGGATCACACGTGTTATTTGCATGTTAAAGGAGATCGCTTCATGTCTTCCCCCCCTTGACTACAGCATCTCTTGGCTTAAGAGATGCTGTTTTTTCTTACCCAGTTACCAAAGTATCACCACTAACCCAGACCCAGAGAGTGGGATAGGGACCCTGTTGAGCCAGCAGCACTAAGCCCACAATACAAAATTCATGAGTTGATTGATTTTGAGTTGTCATTCATTGTTTTCACGTTTATTTTACGTTTCCAAGTTTGATGGAAATTCAATTTCATTTTGGATTTATAGTCATGAGTCATCTAACAACTCATCCCCTCTGCCACCATCAGGTGATTTCTACCACTTTGGGGGTCCCAATTAAATTTAAGTTATTTGTTATGCTGTTTTACCATATCATTTGTATTGCTTTTCATGCTGGCAGCCTCCAACCAAATCCTCCTGAATGTGCTCAATCTCACCGGATATTGAAAGTTAAGCCAGGGTTGAGCCTGGTTTCGTAGGTGGGAGGTTGCGAGGTGGCCATGGGGTGAATCCGTGCAGAGCTGGGCGCTCACAGTTTCTTTACAAGTGCCACTCATTCGTGATAAAGTGGCCACCATCCCAATGCAGTACCCTCGTGAAGTGTTTCGAGACTCGGTGTTCCTTTTCTAGGTAAATATTTGTTCTTGTTCAATATGACATGTTAATTACATGTTCTCATCCAAAGGACCAGTGGTTAAGGTTCTTTGTCGAGAATCACTGTGCATGTTTGGCAGCGTTGATTCGTTAAGTGCTCTGCTGAGTCCCACAGGGGCACCGTGGTGGGGCCTGGCATGGTGCTGTCATGAGGCTCTTTCATAAATTTCTTGCAAATGGACCAAGTTTGAAGTTGTCTCATTCCTGTTGCTTGCATTGTTCTCAAACATGACCTGTTTTGTTTAATTTGACCTTAAAAAAAGTTCTACCAGTTTTGTGCTGTCGGTTGCATCTCATGTCCGTTTATAACTCTTGCAGAGCAGTGCATTACACGTGCAATTAGATTTCACAGAACTACTTTTGAGACCTCTTCAGATAAAATTTTGATTTAAAGCTTTCGTGACTGCAGTAATTCATATTCTTAGTTTTTTCGGTAAAGTCACGTTGAAGAGAAACAACAAAATAACAAAATATATATAAAACAATAAAAAATTCTCACGACGTTTTGACCATAACTCAAACGGTCATCATCAGGTGAGTTGGTTTGCATAAATTTATTTTTAAACGGCACATTTATTTATTTATAAAAAAACGTTGGCCTCACGCGCAGCGATTTGGCAGTTTGCCCAGGACTAGTCCATCTATTTTTTTTGAAAAGAGGAGGGGGGAGACGAAATTTTTTATAATGTATGCTGTCTGAAAGCCACTGTAAGCGTGAACAATCAATCAAGAACTGAAATGATTTATCAAATCTTTCCAATGATTGCTAAGATAGAATCCATCTTCTCGGTTGAAATTGTCTCTGTGCTTGTATATGTGGATAGCCTCATGAACGAATCTCTCATGGAAGCCAGATGGCTTACAAAGAACCTCCGTCTTGGAAAAGTCAATGGCATGTGAGCCTACTGAATTAGAACAATGATCTGCTACGGCCGAGGTGTTGGTCCTACCGTGTTTAAGGTCTGCTTTATGTTCACGAATGCGGTCCGAGATATGGCGTTTGGTTTCTCCAATGTAACTACTACCACAGAGGCAACTTAGTTTGTAGACACCAGGGTATTGTATGTCCGGAATCACATCTTTTACAGACGGAACCAGATCACGGATTTTATGTAATGTGTTGAAACGGACCTGGATCTTGTGTTTATTCAAGATTTTGGAGATCTTTTTTGTGATCCCAGCAATGTAGGGTAAAGTGATGGTTTTGAAAGGCTCCTCAAGAGGGTTCTTCTTCATGGTTTGAGTGATAGCTTTGCGGATTGTATAGTCGGAGTAACCATTAGCCCTAAGAGCTTGGTGTACGTGCTTGAGTTCACTGCTTATGTGTTCCTGGTCGGATATGCATTGGGCTCTATGATACAGAGTCTTGATGAGAGAATTCTTCTGTGATGGATGGTGGTGGGAATCCGGTTTCAGATAAGCATCCGTATGGGTAGCTTTCCTGTAGACAGAGTGGCTCATTGAACCATCAGGTCTCTTTTTAATTAGGACATCCAAAAAAGGTATCTTGCCATCTATTTCGACTTCCATGGTAAATCTGATGGCTGGGTGTATGGAATTGATGTGGTCGAAGAATTGGTCTAGAGCAGGCCGGCCATGTGGCCAGATGACAAAAGTGTCATCCACGTACCTCTTCCATAAGGTTGGGCGCAGAGTGGCAGTCTGGATGGCGTCAGTCTCAAATTTCTCCATGAAAATGTTAGCTATAACTGGAGAAAGGGGGGAGCCCATTGGGGTGCCCTCAGTTTGTTTGTAGAAAGTTCCATTCCAAGTGAAGTATGTATTGGTTAAACAGTGTCTCACCAGGGGGGGTACCTCAGTGTTTAGTCCTTGATGAACCAAGTCTTCAATGATTGCAATGGTGTCAGGTACAGGAACCTTGGTGAATAAGGAAACTACATCAAAACTGACAAGCAGGTCGTCTGGGGACAGGGAAATACCCTTGATTGTTGATACCAGGTGAGTAGAATTTTGTACCGCAGAGGTGGTCTTTCCAGTGAAAGGACGCAGGATTTCAGACAAAAAACGAGCTAGTTTGTAGGTGGGGGAGCTGATAGTAGAGACTATGGGACGAAGAGGTGTATCAACTTTATGTATTTTTGGTAAGCCGTATAATCTTGGTGGTCTGGCAGCAGAAGGTTTCAACGAAAACTGTTTAGATTGATCAATTAATGCGGTTGAATCAGAAATTATTTTGTTGGTTTGTGTGACGAGGCTGTTAGTGGGATCTATTTTTATTTTTGTATAACTACCATCGTCGAGTAATTCTTTAATTTTGTTGTTGTATTCTATTTTATCCATGATGACAGTAGCATTGCCTTTGTCAGCTGAGAGAACTACAATATCATTCAATTAATTTTTTATTGTTTTATATATATTTTGTTGTTTCTCTTCAACGTGACTTTACCGAAAAAACTAAGAATATGAATTACTGCAGTCACGAAAGCTTTAAATCAAAATTTAATCGCCTCTACGGGGAGGGTTTTCACGTAACTTTAAGATCCTTCAACAAACTCCGGGATAAGAAAGCTCAGCTGATCGAGTCTCTCACCTTCCTGAAGAGATGCCGCGACTCTGGGGTAATACCAATCGCATTTACACTGACATCTGCTGCTGTAACTTCTTCTAATGCGAAACGAATTCTTTTCAAAACTAGCTTAGCTCTTATCTCAGAAAAAATCAGACTTATACGCACAGAACTAGATCAGTTAGACAAGACACTCTACAAATCACACTTATCATTGACGGCAATAATGTCCACATCGGATTGGGAACATGTAGACAATATGACTGCCTCTTCAGCTGCTACTATGTCGACCAAATGTAAGGAAAACCTGATTTCCAAATTTAACCTCCTCTTCAACAAAAGACCGGACCCACACACCAAAAAGTTAGACGTTAATAAAGTCGTACTTAATCGCAGTAACAGTTCTATTTCCGATGGTCTGAAATCCGTTTTAGCTAAAGGTCTAAACTTTGCAGTCACACCTAAACACATACCAGTTAATGATATAATTGCCCAAGTAGACGTTGCTCTCAGGGGCCTGGGTCACATCGCTGCAGACGTAGCAAGATCTGAAATCGCTGCAACCCTCAAAAACGCTAAGATGCCAGCTAGCAACCTCAGCAAAGATGAGCGTTTTGAATTATATAAATTAAAAAAGAGGAATGATATTGTAGTTCTCTCAGCTGACAAAGGCAATGCTACTGTCATCATGGATAAAATAGAATACAACAACAAAATTAAAGAATTACTCGACGATGGTAGTTATACAAAAATAAAAAGAGATCCCACCAACAGCCTCGTCACACAAACCAACAAAATAATTTCTGATTCAACCGCATTAATTGATCAATCTAAACAGTTTTCGTTGAAACCTTCTGCTGCCAGGCCACCAAGATTATACGGCTTACCAAAAATACATAAAGTTGATACACCTCTTCGTCCCATAGTCTCTACTATCAGCTCCCCCACCTACAAAGTAGCTCGTTTTTTGTCCTTTCACTGGAAAGACCACCTCTGCGGTACAAAATTCTACTCACCTGGTATCAACAATCAAGGGTATTTCCCTGTCCCCAGACGACCTGCTTGTCAGTTTTGATGTAGTTTCCTTATTCACCAAGGTTCCTGTACCTGACACCATTGCAATCATTGAAGACTTGGTTCATCAAGGACTAAACACTGAGGTACCCCCCCTGGTGAGACACTGTTTAACCAATACATACTTCACTTGGAATGGAACTTTCTACAAACAAACTGAGGGCACCCCAATGGGCTCCCCCCTTTCTCCAGTTATAGCTAACATTTTCATGGAGAAATTTGAGACTGACGCCATCCAGACTGCCACTCTGCGCCCAACCTTATGGAAGAGGTACGTGGATGACACTTTTGTCATCTGGCCACATGGCCGGCCTGCTCTAGACCAATTCTTCGACCACATCAATTCCATACACCCAGCCATCAGATTTACCATGGAAGTCGAAATAGATGGCAAGATACCTTTTTTGGATGTCCTAATTAAAAAGAGACCTGATGGTTCAATGAGCCACTCTGTCTACAGGAAAGCTACCCATACGGATGCTTATCTGAAACCGGATTCCCACCACCATCCATCACAGAAGAATTCTCTCATCAAGACTCTGTATCATAGAGCCCAATGCATATCCGACCAGGAACACATAAGCAGTGAACTCAAGCACGTACACCAAGCTCTTAGGGCTAATGGTTACTCCGACTATACAATCCGCAAAGCTATCACTCAAACCATGAAGAAGAACCCTCTTGAGGAGCCTTTCAAAACCATCACTTTACCCTACATTGCTGGGATCACAAAAAAGATCTCCAAAATCTTGAATAAACACAAGATCCAGGTCCGTTTCAACACATTACATAAAATCCGTGATCTGGTTCCGTCTGTAAAAGATGTGATTCCGGACATACAATACCCTGGTGTCTACAAACTAAGTTGCCTCTGTGGTAGTAGTTACATTGGAGAAACCAAACGCCATGTCTCGGACCGCATTCGTGAACATAAAGCAGACCTTAAACACGGTAGGACCAACACCTCGGCCGTAGCAGATCATTGTTCTAATTCAGTAGGCTCACATGCCATTGACTTTTCCAAGACGGAGGTTCTTTGTAAGCCATCTGGCTTCCATGAGAGATTCGTTCATGAGGCTATCCACATATACAAGCACAGAGACAATTTCAACCGAGAAGATGGATTCTATCTTAGCAATCATTGGAAAGATTTGATAAATCATTTCAGTTCTTGATTGATTGTTCACGCTTACAGTGGCTTTCAGACAGCATACATTATAAAAAATTTCGTCTCCCCCCTCCTCTTTTCCAAAAAAATAGATGGACTAGTGCTGGGCAAACTGCCAAATCGCTGCGCGTGACGCCAACGTTTTTTATAAATAAATAAATGTGCCGTTTAAAAATAAATTTATGCAAACCAACACACCTGATGATGACCGTTTGAGTTATGGTCGAAACGTCGTGAGAATTTTTTTATTGTTTTATATATATTTTGTTATTTTGTTGTTTCTCTTCAACGTGACTCTTCAGATAACTTTAAATCAAACGATTCCATTTTATATTTCATGGATAAAAATATCAGGAAACATGCACTGATTGAATAACGTGCTTCTTAAGGAAAATTATTGGTATATTGCTCTTCATCAAATTCCCTTCCGCTCTCAAGTCGTTTGTGTCATCACTGTGATTAATATTTGCATTCAGCAACTGCCGCAGGTATGATTGTGTTGCTCATTAAAGTCTCCAACATTCTAATTCAACTTTAGATTACTTTTGGTTTATATTATTAGCTCTTTCGGTAAAGTCACGTTGAAGGGAAACAATCAAATAAAAATATATATTTAATATATTTAAATATATATTTCACATATTTAAATATATATTTTATTATTTTATTGTTTCCCTTCAACGTGACTTTACCGAAAGAGCTAAGAATATGAATTACTGCAGTCACGAAAGCTTTAAATCAAAAAATACTTTTGGTTTGCTTAGGTTAACCCTTAGGTCCACATTTACACGTAGAGTGGAATCATTATCGAGGTCATGATTACTCGGTACTGAGAACGACTAACGGGCTAGGAGTGGGGCATGCTGCTGGTACCTTGCATTTCTTCTGCTGTTGCTGCTCCTCCCTGGTGCACGTTAGTGCTGGTCATTCGTGCTGTGTTCTACCAGTGGGGTCTGCCACAGCAAACCTGGAACTGCCTGCCCAGCTGCCACCTCACAAATAGATGAGTAGATTGTGCTCGCATGCATTCAATGCAGTGCTTATTTTACCCGATGAACACGCACAGTGCCCACTGAACGGATCGTTTTAATCGCAAGCTTCAGCACCGATCACACCTATTCACCTGTCTCGGCATCACCCGACATTCGGAAGCCACTGGAGCTATGCACTTTTAAATCTAGATTGAAAACTAATTTCTTTAAAACTGCTCTTTATGTTTAGTTTGTTGTCCTTCCCCCGCACCTCCGATTAGCTATGTTAGCTACATAAGAGTGCAACAGAAGTTCAATATAAATACCCTAAGAGTAATAAACATTACTACTCTAAAACAATCTGGTTATGACATCTGTACGCGTGTTAACTCCTGATCGAACAACCAAGTAACCACTGTTGTTACCAATTAAGTTTATTGTGGTTAATGCACTGCTGAGAGGTGTCGTTGACATTGAAAGTGTCACTTGATTTGCAAAGGGAGTGGTGGGACCAGTATTTTTTTTATTTAGTGCAGTTTCCAGTGATTTCTCTCGATCAGGGTATACATTCAATCCTGGTCTTGTGCAAAGTCTTTGGATGTCGTAGAGCTCACTTATTTTTTCGTAAAGCTTATGTCCAGGTAGTATTACAGATTCAGTTTTAAGTGATTTAGCCATTCAATTGCTTTGTCCCTAAGCTGGTGAATTGCAGATGAAACCACCCTCTCCACCACCTTCAAATTTATATCTGAGTGCGTGACGTTTTATGGCCTGTGTTTTGTAAGTATAATAACACCCATTTCACCTTGCTGGACATTTTTATTTGACATTTTGATTTGACATTTTTTTTTATAATTTCAACATTTGAAATGTATTTTTCACATGGCATGCATTTACACACTTGTGAACCAAGGTGAAATGAAAGTGCAATTTCTATTTTAAAACGTGTTGTCGAGAATGTTCATGAACACTAACAACACTGAAAGGCTCACAGATGATAATGGGATTCCAATACCAGCTACATGTCATATAGGCAAGTGGCTTTGCAAGAATCTCTTTTTGCTGTTGGGCTTATGATCACTCCAAGCTATCAGCTTTATCTTTGTTAGGCTTCTTCGTCACAACCTCAACAAGTAGTACAACCCACTGTAAAAGTGGATTAACGTTCTTCAAGTCGCTCAACCCTAATTAAGCCCAGTTATTTATATCCAACACGAGAAGAAACAGTCGAAAGGTCCTCAGAATATGTTGATGGTACCAAAAGCTGGATAAGAAAAATCTTGTAAGAAAACATTCCTGCACATGAACGTTTTTTTATATATAGCCCAAATCCAACATTCGTGTTGTCGCCAATCAGTTGGTAACATTAACATTTTCATATGTACAACAAATGAAAAACACCCATGTAGAGTATTCTTATGGCACAAAATCATGAGGTTCTTTGGAGTTGCATTATTACAATCACTGCACATAGATTCACCTAAAGTATGTGGTTCATAGTTGCATTTAGAATGTGCAATTGCTCACAACAGTTGTCGTGAGTTGCACATAGAATTAGAATTTTCCATGTAAATTAAAATATAAGCTCTTGACATCCATTAATATCGATCATATATAAACAATAGCTCCATGCAAAAATGTATACTAAATGAGATGTAGTTAATGGTGCATGATAGTTTACACAGCACACATCACAGTAATGCATAGCTCAGTGGCATGTGATGCTTGTACGCAGCTCTCAAAAGCATGACCCTAGTACCATACTGCATAGCTCATGATCGCCTTCTGCAGTACAATTCAGTAGTCTTAAAATATAAAAAAATTGTGATTACACGTAAGTACTCTAAACATCTGCAATGTTCATCTTAATTTTTAACATGTTATGTTGAAATATTTAAATATACAAACACTCCCCACCCATTTAGCACGTGGTGTGGTCATTTCAGTTGGTGAGCTTGCTCTGTAGAAGCTGCAGTCGACATTCAATTGTCTTGTGGATTATCTGCAATCCCTCCAAGTCCAGTTCCTTCACCAGCAGGAGCACAGCGCTCATCACATTGGCATTCTACAAAAGGGCAGCCGTGAATTAAGGTACAATAGAATAAAAGCAATCCATCACACTCACCACGATGCTCCACTCACCAAAATATACAAGACGGGCGATATACTGTATTCTACCGATGATTAATAAAAACACTCCTAAAAGACGCAAAGCAAACTTGTGCCTGGTGCCAACAGAGTTGTAAAAATGTGGTCTCACCTACTAGATTGTAAGACATACCCATAACTTTTGCTTTAAAATAAAGTGCGGGGGGGGGGCACTGGCAGAGCCAGTGGGGGGGGGGGTGGGGTGGCATGTGCCCCCCCCAATGATCCGATCGAAATCCCTAATTTTTATTGGATCATTGGGGTTTATTAGTAATAAATCGTTATTTTGCGACCCCCACTGCCACTGTGTAGCATACTGTATTATTATGTGCCAGGGACTCTATGAGATGATAGGACAATAGTCCGAGTCCATAATTAGCAATAAGTAACGGCAAAGCAGTTATAAGTGACTCACAGAATTGTGCGCAGTTGCATATACAGTACACGACTTCCCTGAAGGCAAACACCTTCAGTGAGCGCAATGTCGATCACACAGCACGGTTCGAATTCGACTTCCAGGCCATGCGCCATCGCCGCACACGCGTCGAATAAAACGCATGGGACAAGTCCTTACTTACTAACAACTCCTATCATTTTTCATTGCTGGAGGGGTTGCCCCCCCTACCTGAAAAGCCTGGCTCCGCCATGGGGGGGGAGGATTTGTGCCTTGCAGTCGATGGAATACAGTTATAGAGGCAAAGGTGAGGCAAATGACACAAGACGAGGCTGGCGAGAGTACAATCGAAAGAGAAAGTACATTTTTATGGAAAATGATTGACAGGGCTCACCGATCACTTCACAAATCACGTTGGTATCTGTGTAACTAATGATAATCGAGTGAATGTGTGGCATATGGAGGGACCCACTTTGGAAGGGATTTTTACTGGAGAAGAGTTGGAGCAGGAGAACTTGTCAATAGGTAGAAGCTTCATGCCAAGCTGTTGTCGGATTTTACTGCAGAACAAAGCAAAATATTAAGAGGGAAACGCCATATTTTATCATTGTTACATGCATTTTACCAGGTATCACCGAGTCTCAACTCTTTTTTCCAGGTCCTATCAAGTTGTTGCATCTACAGGTAGTCCTCTACTTACGATGAAGATGCGTTACGACGACCCCATCGTAAGTCAAAAATATCGTAAGTTGAAGATGGCCTAGCCTACCCAGGAGTCTTAAAGAAAGGTGATAATTTAGCAAAACAGAGCAATTCACAGTGCCGTACTGTATAAACTATATACTGTATGTATTTATTAATTACAATACTGTATTGCACAGTAAAACTTGAAGTAAAAAAAACCAAGGTAAATTCTTAACTCACCTATATGAACTGAAATTTAATGGAAAGTTTTTTCAGGAAACAATCCTATCTGCTATAAAAAAATGTTTTAACATGCATTGAACGTATCATAACGTAAGCTGCCGCGTTTGCCTGCCGCGCGAAATTTAAAATATTTAACAATTTTGTCGTATCGCCATCGTAAGTCGGACCATCGTAACTTGGGGACTATCTGTATATTCATGGGTCTTTTGGTAAAGTCACGTAGATAGGTTCAAATAAAAAAAGAAAAGAAAACTACGACGTTTTGATCGCAACGACCGCTTGTGTTTTCTGTTGTTTTTGATTATTTTCTTTGAACCTATCTACGGGACTTTACCGAAAGACCCAAGGATATGAATTCCTGCAGTCACGCAAGCTTTAAGTCAATATTTTGTTGCATCTAGAGGCACTGTTCCTGTGTCTAATCCAAAATTTAGTAACTGGTATGTAACCAATATCAGTTACATTGTATGTTTTGTTAGATATGGGTGGAAACTGGAAGAACAAGGAGGTATCCCATGCAAAACAAGGGAGAACTTCCAAACTCCACGCAGAATGATGCCCAAGTCGGGAATCCAGGCCCTTGCCATGACGCGCAAGTATTAGCACTGGGCCACACTGTCGACCATATGTTTGGGAATGTGCCCTTTATGGATATTCCCAGTCAAAAATATCTAATTAGCGCCAAGGCAAACAATATCCGATGGGAATCTTACTTTGTTTCTATGAGGCTGAAGTTGATGGGATCCGTGTCTGCTTCAGTGAGGCTCTCGTTGATTCCATCTCCAGACTGACTGATGTGATCATTTGACTTCAGAAGCTCATCCTGCACCTGTGCTGCATTTGGCGATGTGATATCCTCCCCTTCCTTCTGTGCTTGAGCCAGTTCTTCCTCTGTGACAGCTGAAATGTGGACCGTAAATATTACATTCGACGAATCTTTTTTTTAACGAATCCACAAGGATGTTGTGTGCAATTATTTCAAAGTATAAAATTGTGTTCTTTAAACCACAATGAGTGGTCCCCAACAGAAGGAAGTAATTGATGTAGTGGGCAATATGCATCAATGTTACGGACTTGACACAGCTGACCCCTTCACTGCTCTGGATCTGTATTTCCGTGGTTACTTTCATAACGAAAGCATTGTCATTGGCGTCATATCTGCGTAGCTTCTCGCCCTCTACTTTCTCAATCTTTGCTGTCTCTCTCTCTTCCTCTTCTACCTGTGCTCAAGCCACGCTTTCGCTCTTTCTCTTCTTGCCCCCCTTCACTGGAACAAACTTCCCCTCCACATTAATCAGTCACCTTCGCTCACTAGTATCAGCTCCGCACTCAAAACTCACTTATTTTCCCTAGCTCACACCACGACCCCTTAATCTCCCCCTCATAACCGGCACCGTTACGTTTCCCTCTTCATATTCTCATTACATGGCTATCACTTATTCCCCATTCATTCAATCCATTCATATTTTCAGTGTTATGAAATGTGCAACAAAACGGGGAGCATTGTTAAACTCATAAGAAGAAATATGGTACATTTGCATGTAATACTGTATAAAATACTGTGTAGTAAATAAAACATAAAATAAAGAAACATAAATAGAAAAACACTGTTTTATTTGGTTCTATTCGGTAAAGTCACGTAGGTAAAAAAATAAAACAACAAAAATCACGACGTTTCGGCTAGCTTGTAGTCGGAAGTGGGGCAATGAGTTACCACAATTGCACACACACACAAATACGCTTTTGCTCTTTTTCTGTTCTTGCCGCCCTTCATTGGAACAAACTTTGCCTCCACATTAAAGTCACCTTCGCTCACTAATATCCGCTCTGCAATCAAAACTCACTTATTGTTCCCAACCTCACCCCACGACCCCTTAATCTCCCCCTCATAACCGGCACCGTTACGTTTCCCTCTTCATATTCTCATTACATGGCTATCACCTATTCCCCATTCATTCAATCCATTCATATTTTCCTGTCAATTTAATCAAATTCACGCATTGAATATTTGCCTATTACTTCCTCTTATCTATTTCATTCACCTCATCTCCACCATTACATTCACACGCTGTATCGTTGTTAATTATTTGTTAAATACCTTCATTAAGGTGCTACATAAATTCCGTTAAGATAAGATCATGAGGCAAGGGAATGTCCATTCAAAACTCTCACCCCATATTAGAACGGCCTCTGTAAGGTGATATCACAGAAACTACTTCTCGGGTCTCTTCCATCACCAAAAACGTTTAACTCTGTAAAAAAATCCAAATTATGTGAACAAATTAAAATATATTTTTTCAGCAGTCATTGGCAACTGGGCCGAGACTATCGCTTGCTACACTTGAGAACCTGGCTGTCTGGACATTGACTGCATATCCCAGCGCGGTTATATCAGCGCTATCATTCGGGATTAGCCCCCTGAGCCATCCCCAGCCATCTCGGTAGGTTTAAAAAATAGTACAGGTAGTCCTCTACTTACGATGGAGATGCGTTACGACGACCCCATCGTAAGTCAAAAATATCGTTAAGTCGAAGATGGTCTAGCCTACCCAGGAGTCTTAAAGAATGGTGATAATTTAGCAAAACAGAGCCAGTCACAGTACCGTACTGTATAAACTATATAGTGTATGTATTTATTAATTACAATACTGTATTGCACAGTAAAATGTAAAGTAACAAAAAAACAAGGTAAATTCTTAGCCTACCTATATGAACTGCAATTTAATAGAAAGTTTTTTGCAGGAAACAATCCTATCTGCTATACATTTTTTTTTTTTAACATGCATGAACGTATGGTATCGCCATAGTAAGATCAAAATATCGTAAGTCGGACCATCGTAACTCGGGGACTATCTGTAATAAAAAAAAACAAGCGTTTTGTTTGCGTACCCTGGTTATCCAGCTTGTGCAGACCAGGCAGATTCCGCAGCACGCACATACGGTAGTGGTGGGGGTCGGTCCCACAGCAAGGATTATCGGCCAGCCAGAGCACACGCAGATGAGGCAGGGGTTTGAGGTGCCACAGCTCTGCCAGGCTGACGACCGCATTTCTGCGCAGGTAGAGCTCCCGCAGGCCCACGCATTCTCTGAAGTCCTTCAGCGTGTCGATATTGTTCACACTGCAAGATGTGCAACATGACAATTTGAAATCGATCGACTTGCGATGTAAGCAATAACTGCATGATAAAATCTAGATTTGAAGTTTTCGTGACTGCAGGGATCCATACTCTTTGGTTCTTTTGGTAAAGTCGCGTAGGTATAAAATAAATTAAATCACGAAGTTTCGGGCGCAACACAAGCGTCCGTCATCAACTGCATGATAATGTTTTCTTTACATATCCCTATACAGATGCACCTTTTGATGGGTACTTTCAGTATTCAAATTATGAAACTGGGGTAAAGGTGTGCAAAACCAAACTCGTGTATTGTGGTGTGTTGAGCCATGTGATCTTATGCTCATGTTTGTAATTGTGACTTCCAATAAATATTTTGTTAAATCGGAGTAAAAATGAATGATTATATTACTTCCACTATATGTACAAAGATAAGTGAAAGTATAATTTGTTTATATTCATAATTTCGGAATACGCAACGTGTTCGTTTTCTACGGAATATTTACTTGTAAAATGGTATGGTACATTTTTTTATCTTACCTTAATGTTAAAACTTCAATATTCGGCATTTGCCGAAATATGGAAACCTTTAGACACACACACACAAGGGCATACACATTGTTATGCAAACACCACTATCCAGTCAGGACAATCTATACACATTAATTGATTTATCGTTCTGAACTGTTAACGCTCACATCGTTACATTTACTCTACAAAACTAGTGTCATTATTAAACGTGCATAGTACTATACTTACATCTGAAAGTTCACTTCCCCTGGATGGGGTAAAAGGAAAACACAGTGTTAAAAGACAATCTTGATTTAAAGCTTTCGTGACTGCAGGGATTCATATTCTTGGTTCTTTCGGTAAAGTCACGTAGGTTGAAAAAATAACAATTGATCACGACGTTTTATAATACAGCAGTTCCACTGCTGGATTATTTTTTTCCGCCTGAGGACGACCGCTTGTGTTGCGATCGAAACGTGATCTATTATTATTTTTTCTACCTATGTGACTTCACAACCATGAATAGCAACTGACCACAGATAATGCAGCAAGTCCTGTGGAGCAAGTCAAGTACATTTTATTTTTGTTTACATGCGTGGCGTCGTGCCATTCTAGCACAAATCTCTCCACTCAAAGCGCCATCATTAAAACCCGACGTGAAATTAGAACATTTGAAACAACAGCATAAGCCACTGCGGGGCCCTATTTCGGGGAAAGGCGGGTAGGTGCAGTCGAGGTGACAACATCAATGCAAGTCGCATGCAACCAAGGTGTAGTAGCTTCATGTGGAATTTATCATGGAAAACCTCTGATCCACAACCCTACATGCTAACTGTCCACAGGCACCAGCACATCGGCGATATTGTTCCCAAGATATTGTTTCATTTTTTGTCCACAGACACCCCAGAGGTTGTAAAGGTCAGAGCCCCTGGAGCAAAATTCCCAGTGTTTGCTCAGCTCCCTGCTTTGCGGGAAAAAATATTGTACAATACATAACACAAAATAACCATGCATTGTTTAACAGCAATCGTGTAAAAAAAACACTGTACTGCTTATGTTGTATATCACTCGCTGTCAACACGCTGTCAACACGCACCCACCGCTCGCTGTCAATACACACCACTCACTGGTGAGATAAAGTATGAGTTTCTCTCCCACCTCTGCCAACACGTCGACTCAACGTGGAAGAGTCGACCAAACACCCTGTCCAGAGGCTCCCTCTTTAGGCAAAGGTTCAACGCGGCGGCATTGGCCGCCGTGGCGTTCGTGCGTTGGTGGACTCATTACCAACATTTCCCTGGGAACGGTTAAATCCCTTGCTTTCTGAACCGGTGACCGATTGCTGTTAAACAATGCATGGTTAGTTTGTGTTATGTATTGTTTTGTAACTTTGCGTGGCGCAAAGGACCCCATATATCAGAGGGCGTCCCTTGCCTGCAAACATCTGGCAGGCAGTTCACTTGATATTGGTTGAAGGGGGCCTGAAAATGCTTCCGATGAGATACTGAATGTCTCAACTTGGTCCAGACTTGTGCCTCGTGTTGCACCAATGCTGCTGATGGGATTTGTAAAAAAAAGACCTGTATTACTTATGTTGAGTAACCGATATGGAGACTAACAATCGTGAATAGTACCTGTCCACATCTCTGTGTACACGGGTGGGGGGAGCAGTGCCCCCTAGTGCCTGGCCAATCCCCCCCCTACTTTCCACCCCCCCCCCAACTCTCCCCCCCCACTATCCCCCCAACTCTCCACCCCTACTCCCCCCCCCACTCTCCACCCCCCCAACTCCCCCCCCCCCACTCTACACCTTCCCGCACTATCCCCCCCCATCCACCCCCACTATCCGCCCCTCCCCCCACTAATCCCTCTCCACTTCCCCCCACCATCCCCCACTCCACCTCCCCACACTTTCACCCCCTCTCCCCATTAGTTCCCCCTCTTCACCTCCCCTCCACCTCCCCCCACTATTCCTCCCCTCCACCTCCCCCCACTATCCCCCACCCCTCCACACACTACCCCCCCCCTCCACCTCCCCCCGCTACCCCTCCAACTCCCCCCACTATTCCCCCCCTCCACTTCCCTCCGCTATCCCCCCCTCCCCCCACTATTCCCCCCTCCACCTCCCTCCACTATCCCCCCCCCTCCACCTCCCCCCGCTATCCCCCCCTCCCCCCCCGCTATCTGCCCCCCGCTATCCCCCCCGCTATCCCCCCCCCGCTACCCCCCCCCCGCTACCCCCCCCCCCCCCCGCTATTCCCCCCCTGCTATCCCCCCCCTGCTATCCCCCCCCCCGCTATCCCCCCCGCTATCCCCCCCGCACCCCCGCTATCCCCCCTCCCCCCCGCTATCCCCCCCTCCCCCCCGCTATCCCCCCCTCCCCCCGCTATCCCCCCCTCCCCCCGCTATCCCCCCCTCCCCCCCCGCTATCTGCCCCCCGCTATCCCCCCCGCTATCCCCCCCCCGCTACCCCCCCCCCCGCTATTCCCCCCCCCCCGCTATTCCCCCCCCTGCTATCCCCCCCCTGCTATCCCCCCCCCCCCGCTATCCCCCCCGCTATCCCCCCCGCACCCCCGCTATCCCCCCTCCCCCCCGCTATCCCCCCTCCCCCCCGCTATCCCCCCCTCCCCCCGCTATCCCCCCCCTCCCCCCGCTATCCCCCCCCTCCCCCCGCTATCCCCCCCCTCCCCCCGCTATCCCCCCCCTCCCCCCGCTATCCCCCCCTCCCCCCGCTATCCCCCCCCTCCCCCCGCTATCCCCCCCCTCCCCCCGCTATCCCCCCCTCCCCCCGCTATCCCCCCCTCCCCCCGCTATCCCCCCCCTCCCCCCGCTATCCCCCCCTCCCCCCGCTATCCCCCCCCTCCCCCCGCTATCCCCCCCCCTTCCCCCCGCTATCCCCCCCCCTCCCCCCGCTATCCCCCCCCCTCCCCCCGCTATCCCCCCCCCTCCCCCCGCTATCCCCCCCCCTCCCCCCGCTATCCCCCTCCCTCCCCCCGCTATCCCCCTCCCTCCCCCCGCTATCCCCCCCCTCCCCCCGCTATCCCCCCCCCCTCCCCCCGCTATCCCCCCCCCCTCCCCCCGCTATCCCCCCCCCTCCCCCCGCTATCCCCCCCCCTCCCCCCGCTATCCCCCCCCCCTCCCCCCGCTATCCCCCCCCCCTCCCCCCGCTATCCCCCCCCCTCCCCCCGCTATCCCCCCCCCTCCCCCCGCTATCCCCCCCCTCCCCCCGCTATCCCCCCCCCTCCCCCCGCTATCCCCCCCCCTCCCCCCGCTATCCCCCCCCCTCTATCCCCCCCCCCTCCCCCCGCTATCCCCCCCCCCCTCCCCCCACTATCCCCCCCTCCCCCCACTATCCCCCCCCTCCCCCCACTATCCCCCCCCTCCCCCCACTATCCCCCCCCCTCCCCCCACTATCCCCCCCCTCCCCCCACTATTCCCGCCCCCTCGTCGCCATGGTAACCCAGCGCCCCGTCCCCTCGTTCACCAGCAGTTGAGCTTGCGGACGCTGGACAAGTCGCCTGCGCGCGCGCGCGCCAGCACCAGCTTCTTCGTGAGAGTCTTCATCGCCTCCCCGACTCCCTCTCCGTCCACCCGACGCCGTCTCTGTCCACGCCCTCTCCGCTCTCGCCTCCTCGCACGGAGCCCGCGAGCCGAGCCCAAGGAGCGACGCCGCCGCGACAGCGCCCAACACAGCCGCTTACTGCGCACGCGCGTGGCCAACCCGACGCGCCGACGTCACCGCGTTTCGTCGATTCCGTACCAGCGTGGTGACGTCGTAACCCGTCGTTATCGACGCGGTGACGTCGCTGTCGCCAACGACGCGAGGTGACGGGCACTTTGTTACCAACGGTGACGTCACCATTGTGAAGAAGCGCGGTGACGTCACCACTAGTTCTTGCTTTCCAACGTCTCTGGAAGCGAGGAAGGTTTTGCACCTGGATCAGCCACCAGCAGCCAGCAGCAGCAGCACGGGGTAGCCAGGTTGTTAGAGGCTGCTGCGGGCCCCACGTTTTTAGCAGCAGCAGCAGCAGCAGGAGTATGCTCAGCCATCACTTCAGATGTTTTTCTTGTTCGTTTTTTTGTTTGTTTGTTGTGGTTGCACCCGATTCAAGAGCCGAATGGCTCACAGGGCTATACCGAAATAAAGAAACTGAATCACTTAAATATACATTAGGCCCTGTTCATCCATAAAATCATCATTGGTAAATTTCCGCTATCTTAATAAAGTATTGATAGTTAGATTTTAATGTACACATTTTAGTGAGGGACTGTGTCTTTTTGTGGTCTGAGACTGTTTTTTTTGCTGTTTTACTGTCTTTCCCAAGCCTAGGAATTGATTTACTCGTGCAATTTGAACTTGTGCTGTATTTAAGGAGTGATGTTGTTGGTCGTGGGTTTAATCCCGACCCTGGTGCCGGTATATTTGGAGTTTGCATGTTCTCCCCGTGGTCGCGTGGATATAAATATATTTATATAAGATTATTTTGCTATAAATTTGCACAGGACAAGCCACTTCGTTGAGCTATAATTTGTGGCCAGGAGGCTTCTGAAAAATAAGTTAATAGCTCAGCGGGCTTTAACTGGCAAGATAAACATAGTTTAGCTTTATTTGTATACATATTTTAAGTAATTTACCTCTCCTATACTTTTCACTCTTGTCGCCTTTTTTATTTGTTGGAACGTTCTGGCCTGTCCATTGTGAACATTTGCTTTATCGGTAAAGTCACGTAGGTAAAATAAAAATAAAATAACTGAATTAAATCACGACGTTTCGGAGGCAACACAAGCTTCCGTCTTCAGGTGGAACAGCCACAATAAAGTTCGCTGTATCAAGTGAACTTTGTGAACTTTGTTACAGAGAACTTTGTTGTGTCTGTTCCACCTGATGACGGAAGCTTGTGTTGCCTCCGAAACGTCGTGATTTAATTTATTTTATTTTTATTTTACCTACGTGACTTTACCGAAAAAAACAAAGAGTATGAATCCTTGCAGTCACGAAAGCTTCAAATCTAGAATTAGCTGTATCGTTCATCGGAATCCTCCAATATAAATATTCTGCTTCTGAAACGTCTGTGCTCTCTCCCTTCACCGACCCACACCGACTAGTGTAGTGAAGTATGGTTAATAGCCCCCACAAACGAAAGACGTGGAGAGGCTCTGATTCAGCAGTGTACACTTCACCTCTGGGTTCTCAGGCACCATTTGGTGACACCAGTACGGCATCTATTTGGGTTCGTATAGCGTCCACATGCACTTGCGTGTCAAGACACTCCACAGAAGCCGTGCAAAATGACTTCTCTGCTGAAAAGAAACAGGGTCTCCAGCAGTAGCTGTCCGGGCAGTCCCTGGCAGGGACTGGGGAAATTAACACAAAGCGCTGTCTACAGCAAAGCATGACATCAATCCCAAACGTGATTTGCACGTCAATATGACGTCACCATTCTTTACAAATATTACTGTGTTCTTGGTTCTTTCGGTAAAGTCACGTAGAAGGGAAACAATAAAATAAAATATATAAAACAATACAATTCTCATAGCAAGAAATTGTTTTATTGCTGTGGTTTTCACACCTGATGATGATTGCTTGTGTTGCAGTCGAAACGTGATAGTTTTATTGTTTTATATATATTTTATTGTTTCCCTTCTACGTGACTTTACCGAAAGAACCAATAATATGAATCCCTGCAGTCACGAAAGCTTTAAATCAAAATATTACGTGCTTGAATTTGGTTGTATGGAGTGGGAGGGTTCCACAGAATATTTCCTTCAGGAACGAATTTCAGCCGTCGTACATGATGGCTATACTGATAAGCCCTAACAATGTTGAATTTGGTTGCTTTTTTGTTTTCCTGCTCAAATTTAAAACAAACCACAGTCGGCTCTATCGAGCCAATGCAGGTGATCACAAGGCCCACGAGGTTCTTATTGCCCTGTGATAGCCACTCATACCTGTGAGAGGAACTCAACTGGAACACATTTGGAGCAACAAATAGCAAGGTGCAACATGTGCATCCTGGACCCATGGTACCAATCATCGGCCCACAGTGCTAATAATGGGCCTACGGCAAGGCCGTGATTATATATTGCTATAAAATAGATTTGTTTATGTGATTGTGGTTATGGTTGGACTTTATTAATCCCTAATCTCTACCATTACATATGTAGTGACTTGTAGTGTCACTACTGTGGACAACAACAACCGCCATTCGCCACTAAGTGGCAGTGAAGTCACCACGACGCTTGTGCCAGGCCATGTGCACCTTGAGGCCACGTGAAGTGTCGAACGCCCGTTGGCAGGAGGTCACGGGGCAGACTCAGGTGCCACGGGTCGACTGAGATGACCGAGATGACTGGCTGATGCACCACCTGTGCCCCCTCCTGTGCCAACTTGCTGTGCTTTAGCCACCCGGCGCTCCGCTTGTTGTTGTGAGCGTCGCTCCTTCGCCCTTCGTTGTTGTTGTAGGGCGACTGCCTCCAACTGCCCAGTAGCATCCTTCACAAGCCCCCTCCACAGAGGCCTATCTTGACACCGCGAGTACCAGTCATCGGCAAGTCCACTCAGCTCCACGTCATCCTGTACCACATCACTCCATCTCTTCTCTAGCCCGTGCCGCGCCCGTTTAGCCCTCTCTATCCGGCCGAACAAAAGCTGTTTAGGCATGCGGTGGCTGGGCATGCGGGCTACATGACCCAGTCAATGCAGCCTTGCCTGCCGGAGGAGCTCACCAATGGGACTTTGCCCAGATCTTTCAACGATTTGTGAGCTCACACAATCCAGCCTGGTTAAACCCCGGATGGATCGTAGCCAGGCCAGCCTAAATGTTTCTAACTGGCGAAGATGCTACATTAGGGGGTCCACGTTTCGCAAGCGTAAAGAAGGGAGGGAATGACCGTGGCCGAGAAGACCTGAAGCTTCGTGCGGAGCGACAGACCAGGTAGCTTCTACACAGCATTACGCAACCGATGAAAAGATATTGCCGCTCGACTGATTCGAAGTGAGACCTCTGCTGTTAAACTGGAGCCGGTCATGAGCACACTGCCCAGGTATGGGGAACTCTCCACTCTCTCCACAACTGCCCCATCGCCGATTGTGAGTTGTGGGGGTGGAGTGTCCGATGGTACAAAATACCCAGGCAGGTGCTTAGTTTTGGTGGGGCTGATGGTAAGGCACGCTCCAGTTTCAGCAGCAGCGTCTCCAACTCCTCCTCTGAATGAGCAACAATTACCAAATCATTGGCATACATAACGTGGTTGACCAATAGGGAGCCATCCCTTGACTGCACCCGGGCATCGATCAGCCTCCCATTGTATCTGTACCAAATGGAATTTCCCCCGGTACAGCTATTAAAGGCTTCACGAACTACGTGGTCAAAATAGATGTTATATAATGTGGGAGCAAGAGGACATCCCTGTCGCACCCCAAGGTGTACAGGGAATGGCTGTGACTCCCGGCCACGTAGTTTTACCTGGGCCCGCTCACCATCATGAAGGTCCTTAATGATCATGAGCAGAGGGTCAGGGACTCCGAAAGCACGAAGAACCACCCAGAGCTCAGGCCTACTGATGGTATCATAGGCCTTGACCAGGTCAATAAAGCAGAGATGTAGGTCTTGTTGGAATTCCATATACCTCTGCTGTAGCAGACAGAAAATATGGCATCTGTCCAGGACCGCCCTTTCCTGAAACCGCATTGGGGCTCCGCAAGCCTCTCCTCAGCGTGCCTAGCAAGGCGATGTTGAATAATCCTTGCCAGGACCTTTCCCGGCACACTGAGGAGTGAGATGCCCCTGTAGTTGGTACAGTCTGTACAGTCCCCCTTCTTAAAGAGGGGAACCACCAGGGCATCGTTCCAATCCTGCGGAACCCGTCCAGTGGTCCAGACTGTTGTTATGATGTCATGTAGGGCAGTATGTGCACATACGCCACCCTCCATCAGCATTTCGCTTGGGAGATCATCTCTGCCTGGTGCCTTTCCTGGTCTCAGACTCTGGATCGCCTTCAGTACTTCCTCAACAGATGGCACCTCAGCCAGCCACTCACAGGGGATGACTTATTCTTCCAATATTTGAGGCACCGCAGCTTCAGCTGGATCATCCCCACTTTGTGCCACGATGTTTTCCTGGCTGAGGGATTTCCCCTACCCCAGGACCTCACAGAAATACACAGCAAATCTGCAAACCTGTTCCTGGGGGTAAGGAGATTGGATCACTGTTTTTTCCCCTCATGATGGTAATAGGTGTGGCGCTGCAGGTTACTTTTTTGATGGAGTTACATAGGGATTTGTGATCGCGGGCCACTGAGGCAGACTCCCTCTCCTCAGCAACCCGCGACCACTACCCATCCTTGCAGCGCCTCACGGCTCACCGAACCTCCGAGCGAAGGCTGCAGTAAGCCTCATAATTCTCTGACGTGGGATGCTGTAGACGAGTAAAGTGGGCGTGTCGCTTTTTCTCAACCATCCTGTTTGTCAGCCAGGGTATCTGGGGAGGTCTGGACCACGTACCCAAAGCAGCCATTGCAGCTGCATGAGTCACAGTCCTATACCTCGCCCATTTACCCTTGACATCAGGAGGAGTGGGGGACCATGCCATCCCCAGCCGCAAGCGATGATGAAATTCTCATTTGCACCTTTCTTCAGCTAGCTGAGACCAGGCCACCTTAGGTTGGAATGGGGTCCTGGGTGTACACCCACCACCGGAGTGAAAGAATGGCAGACGCATCTTA